AGGGTATTGCATGTCAGGAATGACATCCTTCACAGATGGGATCAAATCACGGATTTTGTGTACTGTACTGAATCGGATTTGGATCTTGTGTTTGTTTAAGATTTTGTAAATATTTTTGGTAACACCTGCTATGTATGGCAGGGTGATGGTTTTGATTGGGTCCTCAGATGGTTGTCTCCCCATGGTTGGAGCTACAGCTATGCGGATTGTGCGGTCTGAGTATCCAATCATCTTGAGGGTGTACGTGCTCCAGTTCACTGGCTAGGTGGCGCTGGTCGGATATGCAGCGGGCCCTATGGTGTAGTGTTTTGATGAGGGAGTTCTTCTGGACCGGATGGTGGTGGGAGTCAGACTTTAGATAGGAATCCGTGTGGGTGGCTTTCCTGCAGACGGAATGTCCCAACGAGCCATCAGGCCTCTTCTCGATCAAAACATCCAGGAATGGTAGCTTGACATCATTTTCCACTTCCATGGTGAATTTGATTAATGGGTGTATGGAATTTGTGGTTGAATAACTGGTTCAGTGCTGGCGAGCCATGTGGCCAGATGACGAAAGTGTCATCTACATATCTCTTCCACAAGGAAGGACGTAGGGTGCATGTCAGGATGGCATCTGTTTCAAATTTCTCCATGAAAACCTTCGGTAACACTGGTGATAAGAGAGAACCCATAGGGGTACCTTCATTTTGTTTGTAGAATATACCATTCCAGATTAAGTAAGTGTTGGTAAGGCAGTGCCTCACCAAAGTTGGTACATCAGGATTCAGTCCCTGTTGGACAAAGTCTTCAATGATGGATATGGTGTCAGGTACAGGTACATTGGTTAACAGAAAGACTACATCGACGCTGACAAGCAAATCATCTGGAGACAGTAAAATGTCCTTGATTAGAGAAACCGATCACATTTACACTCACATCTGCTGCTGTCACTTATCCTAACACTAAACGGATCTTGTTCAAAGCTCTAATCAAGGACTCCACCAAGTAATGGTCACATACCCACAGCCCTCGTGACAGGCTAGATGCACTTACCAACACACACTAAAAACTTTAATGCAATCCAACACCACACTGGTTTACGCACATCTTAACGTTTATATGCCATTAATGTATGTATATATACAGTACAGTAATTATTGTTTGTGTCAAATATAAAATATCTTTGGTGTTAAAATTGAACGATAATCACAAACGTGACACTATATCATCATATACGGCAAGATTCCGCTTCGGAAGAAAGTGAAACGTGTATTCAATTAGTGATACAGAAATCGACTCTGCGTAATAATACAACAAAAAACCGTGTAAATGTTGGACTGCAATGCATCATCTTTCCACCAACAATCAGTCAGGCCAATTAACACCGCACAGCCCGGAATAATTCAAACTCCGATACTCGACGCACATTCAAGGAACAGCAACGGTGCGAAAAAGCAGAAAAAGCGCCCTCCAATTCGTTCGTCTCTCGCCGAGTCATGACACTCCCAGCACCCCCTCCACCACCCGTCGCGCTCCACGTCACGAGGGGCTTGCACGTGGAGTCGACGCCATTTTAAATCGGTAAAGCGCACACACGAACAAATCGACACGCTCGTCAACAACATTGTGTGGTCTCAAAAATAGAGTTATAAATGGGGCGACGTTTGAGACAATGGCCCTTTACAGCACACAAGAAGGGCGATTGCTCAAAACATTGCTGATTATATATTTTTTTCAATTTCAGGCCACAGTGTGGCTGTTGACGCGTGTGTTGAGTGTTTGTTGTTGTTAATTGTGTTTGTTCCCCATTGCCAACACAGCAGCTGCATCCCCAATTAATGTGTCATCTGTGGATGGATTGTTTTTATTTCTCCACCATCCTCACAATGCCTTAGGGGGGCGGCTTAGGGAGACGTGAGGCGTTTCTGCCATCAACAATCCTCTAATGCACGCGTTCCCAGTCTAACGCTCTGAACGTCCTTCAATTTTCCACGCACCCCGGAGAACAAAGCAGGTGACGCTCCGCTTGCAAAAACTCCGTGGCTCAGATCGTCGGTGTATTGCTCATTTGTTGGTCTGAGCTTAATTGACGAAAGAAGGGGGGAGACGAGGAACACCACGCTTCGAAGGCTATGCTCTACTCTTGCGCACGATGGCAGCAGCGATATGGTTCAGGAGCTGGATGTCAATGCGGATGTCTGCTGCTGCTGCTGGCCACGACGTGAGGGCTTTAGCACAGAGAGAGAGAGAGTTCGTGTCGTGTCGCTGTTCCTCCTCCTCCGGTGAAGGCGCGCAGACTAGTGGTTTACCGTACGGTCCATTAGACTGACATTGCCCATAGACATTCAATGCCCGTAGACTAATCTATTATTGCGTATGGCAGCAATGTGCTCATGAGCTAGATGCCAATCTCGAGGTCTGCTGCTGGCCACGACGCGAGGGCTTCAGCAGAGATAGAGTTCGTGTCGTGTCGCTGTTCCTCCTTCTCCTCCTCTTCCATTCATGGAGCGCACACTCCAGTTGATTCCTCTACGGCCCATAGTTGTGTTGCGTGGCCACAATCACACCAGCATGGCTCGTGCCTTTAATCCTCCATTCGTGAAGGAGATGTGTGCATCGCCCCAGCCCACGACGTTCTGCTGCCACCACGCTCATCGGCCCAGAGTTTGCTGCGTCTGACTTTGCCCCTCGTGCCGCGTTATCCCGATACGGGCCCACGAGGAGCTGCCGCTAATCGAGTGCAGGCGAACGGGAACTCGCGTTTGTTTTTTTTACATTCGGACTCGGGTTACCACCGTTCAAATCACGCGGTCAACTTTTGCAGCTCGGCATGAGTGAAAAATGAGCAGCAGCAGCAGTACTCACATACATTACTGGCCTCCACACCCCCCACCAAAGAAACATCACAGATTCTGTTTCCCGTGTAGCTCTCTGCGGCTCTGGGGGAGCGATGGCGCAGCGGTTAGCGTGCGCTGCACGACGAACCCGGTGACCCGAGTTCCGAGTCCCGCTCACAGCCACCAACACCGGTGAAGATTATCTGAACTGGTCTTGTGAATCCCATAGGTCGTCTCAGCTTCAAAGGGGCACCTCTGAGTGCGGTGTGTAAACATCGCCACGTGGGGAAACCAAGGCAGCCGGGCGTGGTGCTGGCCACTCACGGCTCTCGTGCGCCGTGCCGGCCTTCATTAGGTGCTCGCTAATAGCACCTGCACCGACAGTCTGTTACAGGCTATACGGGGAATCTTTATCTGTATCTGCTGCATAGCAAAAGCAACGGGCCATTTCAAGGTCTGGCCCGCCTGCATGTAACGCCTCCGCAAAAATAACATCGGCGTATCACTCCGAGTTTGAATTTGTTCAAATATTTGAGTGATGTAACCGCTTCGCGATAGGGAAACCGTGGGTCTCCGGCAAGGGCCACTCCCAGTGCCCCACACTGAGACTCCACGCTCCGGGTTTTACTCGGAACATTGAAACGTAAATCCACACCCCGTGTGCTGACTCACCAGCATTAGACCGCCACGAGACCGTGTCGTCATTACATAGGCCAGGCTCAACGCCTGCGTAGCTTCCGAGATCACGGTATAATTGGGTATTTAGAGGCACGGACTGTGTGCTTTGAGCCTGTTAGATCGTGTTAGAAGCGACGCGCCTGTCACAGTGGTGGATCTGTAATGCCTCGTATCCTACATCGTCGCAGTGCCGTCACCTCTGACCTATGCCGGCCTGGCACGTCACAATAGCCCCCCCCCACCCCCTCCACCCCACCTCTCAACACCCCCCCCCCCTCGCCTGCCCACCCCCCAACAATGAACCTCTCCCTCCCACTCCCTCCCAAACCCCCTTGGACCGTCCCCCCTTAGCGAGCGTTGCCAGATCCGGAGACCAAAAAGCAGTCGCGGGATTCGGACTCGCGAACAATAAACCTTTGGCGGGGCGCCACACGTGCGAACACGCGGCGGCTACAGAGTTATCCAATAATAACGGCGGAGGGTGAACGCCGCTCGACTTGGCAACGCCGCAATGCTGAGTTCGCCAGCTCGAAACGTTCGTCCCCAAGCACACATGCGCACTCCGGACACCCGATTAGTGCGGCTAAAAATGCTGGCAGCGACGGAATCGTTTGCTGGGTCGGCGGTTTTTGCGAAGTGGTAGGAGGCCTCGTGTGGCCGCGTGAGATGAGGCTGAGGACCGCGAGAAGTGAGGCCCACGTGGCTGCACGCTAAGTGAGGCCCGTGGGCCGCAAAATCTGAAACCGTCAGGCTCATCACAATGTTTGCAAACGATGCGCCAAATTTTAAGTGCGTTCAAAAGCAGTACTTTAACAACGGCATCCACACAGTATCGTCGGGCTGAGATAGCTTTCAATACATTATTCGATTAGTTTGACGAAATAAGATTTTTTTTAAATGTAACATTCGAGGATAAATGCTTCGATTCCTCGGTGCGAGAATCGTCGTGAGATTTTACACAAATTTGCATTCCATCGTTATGGCTATGTGTGTGGGGCTGATGGGGGAGTGTACGCCTCTGCTGCTAATGCTTGACAGCAACACGTGATAGAGCTACGAGCCGGACTCGGCCTTTACTATCTCAGCTCTTAGGGCCCCCGATTGAGATAAGGACGGCCACGGCACAAGAAAGAGGGAGGTTACGAACGAGACGGCCGATTGCGTTTCGAAGCGTCCCAAGATACAAAAAACAAAACTCCCTCGAATCCCGAGGGAGTTTTGTGCATCGCTCGAGGGGAGAAGTGGGGGTGGTGGATTGAAAAGAGGACCCTGTTTTAGGGAAATTTGAAAGGGTGCCTCACATGGTAGGGAAAGGGGCCCGCCTCCTCGCCTGTAAGATCGCCAGTTCACCGGGCATCGATTCAAGGCAAGCTGACGAGACACCGTGATGTCGGAACCGGTCCAGAGATTGCTTGTCTTGAAAAACTGCCGCGGAAATGATGCGCTCACAGAAGGCCGTGGGCCTCAGGGTTTGAGCCAGGGAATCCCTGCAGTAGGATGCATAAGCGAGCTTAGATGTGTCATTGATAACGATTGAATGCCCAAGTCGGCCAGCTCAGCAAAGCACCCAAAAACACTTTGAAAATTGATGTCCTCGGGCGCACAAGGTCCGAGTTGCTCTCTCAAGCTCGTCTCGTCTCCATCACTTCTCAACTCTGCTGCTCTCAAAAGTGCAGCCTTTTTTTACAAGCCTCGATCGAGATATCAAACCTCTGATCTGGGAACCCTGTGCTTCCGGCCTGTCGACTCTTGTTACAGTCCCAAGGTCAATGTGGCTCAGTTTCGCTCCAGGTAGCCCCCGCCCCCTCACCACATCACCACCCCCCAACCCGCACAACCTTAGTGGCTTGTGTATCGAGCTTGGCACGAGTGGCTTGGTCCAATTTTCTGCCCTCTCCGTAGCATCTCGGTGCCTTGGGGGGCCCCTTTGGCCCGTGGGCCCCGCTGCAGTTGCAACTGCCCGCACACTCGATTAGCCACATGGAGCCGGGTCACAGAATTTCCGGGACCATCGTTTGCTTTTTTTAGTTTTAAACCAGCCCCCATGAGAGTTAATGGGCCTGCACCAACAAGTTAGGCGATGGCAACCTCTCGGCGTTCAATCGGCCCAATCGACGCGCCGGTGAGAGTGTGGGAGAGCACGGCGAGCACCAGGCGTCGAGTGAGTGTGCAAACTGCTGCTGGAGACCTGGTCTGGGGAAGGAAGCGGCGATGACGAAGATGCTGACGATCTCTTGAACGGAAACTCAAGACCGCGTCCTCGTCCCCCGCCAAGGAGCTATCTCTGAACTCTTGGGCGGTGTGGGGGTGGGGGAAGGCACGGGAGGGGGGGGAGTGCATCGCTGTTCATTATTAGGGGTAAAAGCCCTCCACACCCTCCACCTACACAACCATTGCCAAGTCCACGTCCCTCTCGCACACGAAGTGAATCTCCATGGAGCAGGGGAAGTCGTTCCACTTCCCGCCGAAGGTGAAGCCCGCGCAGTCTTCGCGCCCGTTCAATGACAGCGCCCAGTTGTCGGGCTGGCCATCCGCCCAGAAGCTGCACGCACACACGCACACAAAGACAAAAGGTCACCCGTGTCGCCTTAGCAGGCTTTAGCGGGCTATTAGCGAGTCGCACCTATGAAGGCCGAAATGGGACCCGAGGGGTGTGGTTGGAGAGCACCACGTCCGCACACAATACACACACACGAACGCATGCACAACACACACACACGCACGCATGCAGACAGGCACACACACAGGTCCGCACACAACACACACACACTTACACATGCACACAGGCACACACACACGTACGCATGCACAACACACACACACGTACGCATGCACACAGGCACACACACACATACGCATGCACACAGGCACACACACGTACGCATGCACACAGGCACAAACACACGTCCGCACACAACACACACACACATACGCATGCAGACAGACACACACACACGTACGCATGCAGACAGGCACACACACACACACACGTCTGCACACAACACACACACACGTACGCATGCACACAGGCACACACACACGTAAGCATGCAGACAGGCACACACACACGTCCGCACACAACACACATACACATGCACACAGGCACACACGCAAGTACGCCCGCTCATGACACATGCAGGGGAAGTATCTTGTGCACTGATATGATTCAGAATTGCACACAATCATAGCTGGGCAGGGTTGACGGCCGACGTTTCAAAGAATAACTTCGGAGCGGCAGTCAAGGAACGGGCGTGGGGAGATGGAGCAATGAAATCATCTTGCATACAGACGCCGGGTGGACAGTTACATCGCGGGATCATGCGCAGTGGCGGCGTCGTCGTCGAGAGATTGCAGAGGAGGCCTTCATCCAGCAGTGGATAGACCACTGCTGCTGATGACGACGACGACATCAACGAGGGTGAACAATCAAACGCAGGGCCCCGTCGCGTCGCGCGTCCCCTCGTCTCTAAAATTCGTCGTTACGCAACGCCCGCACCGCGCGCTGGGCGCCCGCCCAGGAATGCGACGGAGACCGTCAACGGGAGCCACACGTGGCACGCGCGTGTGGCTCCCGGCAAGCGAGGCTCACAGCGAGCGAGGCTTCCGGCGAGCGAGGCTCACAGCGAGTGTGGCTCTCAGTGAGAGTGGCTCTCAGCGAGTGTGGCTCACAGCGAGAGTGGCTCTCAGCGCTCACAGCGAGCGAGGCTCCTGGAGAGTGAGGCTCACATAGAGCGAGGCTCCCGGCAAGCGAGGCTCACAGCGAGTGAGGCTCACATCGAGAGTGGCTCTCAGCGAGTGTGGCTCACAGCGAGAGTGGCTCTCAGCGAGTGTGGCTCACAGCGAGAGTGGCTCTCAGCGCTCACAGCGAGCGAGGCTCCTGAAGAGTGAGGCTCACAGCGAGTGAGGCTCACAGCGAGTGAGGCTCTCGGCAAGCGAGGCTCCCAGAGAGCGAGGCTCACAGCGAGAGTCTGAAACAATGAGACGAGTTTCCGCTATAGGATCCCCCCCACCCAGCCCTCGACTCCCGTCTGCGTCGAGCCGGCGGTGTGAATAGGTGGTCGATGGCTCGGTCGCGTGCGGCGGGGTAAAGTGTGGGTACGTCCGTGATTTCGAGGACGAGCCACGCAACTCACAAGGGAATTTAACATCAGGGGTCTGCTCTGCGTCTCTCACCCGCACGTCGATGCATGTTTTGGCCCGTCAGCCGATCGGCTCCCCAAGCTGATATAGTTATCCAACAGCTTCTTGTGTACGCCTCTGCTGCTGATGCGTGACAACCACGCGTGACAGAGCTCCGAGCCAGACTCGGCCTTTACTATCTCGGCTCTTAGGGCCTCCGATTGAGATAAGCAGCCCTCTCACAAGGACGGACACGGCACAAGAAAGAGAGAGTTGCCTTTGTAGTCTTCGCCGATGGGAGCAGCAGGCAGTGGCATATGCGAGGAGAGGTGGGGGGCAGGGGTGGTGGGGGGACACGTAGAAGGGAAATAATAAAATAATAATAAAATAAAAAATACAATTCTCACGACGTTTTCTTATTTTATTATTTCCCTTCTACATGACTTTACCGAAAGAACCAAGAATATGAATCCCTGCAGTCACGAAATCGAAATCCTGTATATTGTGGATCATTAGCAGAGGTAATGCACTGAATGTTGTTGTGATTAACGTCGGGCACCACATTTAATAAAGCTTGAGATTTCGGGGACCGCTCGCCCCCTTGGGAAGTTTTTAGAATCCGCCTCTGGCAGCAGGGGTCACGTGGGAGGGGGGGAGTGAAGTGGAAGGGGGGGGGCAGTATAGTGGTGGTGGTGGGGGGGTCCCAAGAGTCCCCTCCCCCCGATGCTCGCGATGTCTCACGTGGGGCCGCCGAGCTTGGTGCCGTCCACCCACTCCCAGTTGCCCTCCACCATGGTGTCGTGCAGGCCGATGTACACAAAGTGCCCCATCGTCTTGGACACCAGCCACGTCTGGGGACGACATCATCATCATCATCGTCGACGTCATCGATGACACCCGGGAATCGTCGTCCATAGCGCGACACCGCAAAGCCCTAGGTTTGCCCGCCTCTGAAGATACAAACAAAATGACACATCGTGGGGGAGAGGAAGTAGAAGGCGCTGCGGTGATTATGAGATGTTAACTACCTCGGCTGGTATACAGGAGGTCGTGGGATTGATCCCGACCTGACGCCTGCGTTTTTGAAGTTTGCATGCCTCTCTCCACGTGATCGCGCGGATTTTTCTCCGGGCCCTCCGGGTTTTGCCCCTTCACATCTTGAATCAACGTGTGGGTTTAGAGTATTTGACTGCTATAAATTTCCACTTGATAAGCCACTTCATTGGGCTATAATTTTTGACATCCAGGTCGCTTGTGCAAAGAGCTGCACAAGCGAGATACAGGCGGAAGTCGATTATCGCAAATTCCGTAGAACAGCGATTCGTTAGGGCGCTCGCTATCCTAGAGAATATTTTTACGAAAAGAAAATTAAATTTTGAAAATATATATAAAGCGCTTACGGGTGAGAGAACGCAGCAGCAGCATAACCGGTGGAGGAAACGGTAGCCCCCCCCCCCCCGCCCTATAATTCGCTTAGCCATTGAGAGCGAACCCAGACCCCCACACCTCGCGATTCGATTATGACAAGCCGTGGGTCACAGTAACATTTTAACAACAACAAACACCCGATATGGTTTAAGCCAGGGTGAGAACGCACGGGACCTGGGATAGAGTCTCGGGCTCTGCCTAGAAGAAGTCTCACCACAGGAATTTAGACTGAGGGCATCGCTGAGACCACGGAAGGTCGTGCTGTTCTCCGAGAACGACCCGGATGACCCGGACTGGGAACCGAAGCTGCCCCTCCAACCGCGTCTGCCACCGCTGCCTCGCAGAAGTACAATAGAATGTATGTGCCCTACGTACGTCAGTTAATATTTTGTATTTTTTTATCACTATTAATATCTATTTTTCATCTTGCCTTTTCAGATGACCTTTGAAAATGGAATGAAACAAAGGGCAAAAGACGAACGAGTTCAATTAGTTTGTGTATGTATGCTCAAGAAGGGAGCTGTAATCTATTATGAAAGCCCAGAGTTTCGTTTGTCCATTTGTCCGTCAACCTAAAAAGTTGATCCAACAGGTTCACATCAATTGTCGACCCCCAGCACCCCCCCAAAATTTGTTTACGTATTTCTTAGGCATAAATGGCTACACATCCTACATACAATAGAGTCAGTAATATCTGTACACATGGGGGGTGGGGAGGGGGGACATCAGTGGGGGCGACGGGCAAGGCGCCAGGAAGCCCTCCGCAGGAGCTACAATGAGGCAGAGGTCGCAAACGGGTTTTGATTTCTTACCCGTACCCGTACCCGGCCGGGTACGGGTACCCGTTCCGTTCCCTACCCGTACCCTACCCGAAATGAGTGACAAACGGTTACTCACCAGTGACTCACAGCCTACCCGTACCCGTACCCGGCCGCACCAGGGTCGCAAATGGGTACCCGTACCTGGCCGGGTACGGGTAGCCGGGTATCGGGTAGGGTACGGGTATCGGGTACCCGGTTGCGACCTCTGCAATGAGGCGGCTGTGGGCCAGCGAAATTCTCGTCTTAGATTAAAAGTCCCAAATTCATATCAAAATTAAATTTATCCATCTCGCATTATGGGTAAAGGAAGTCAGTTTGGACATTTGTTAAAATAAAATAAATTGCCCTTTGTGATTTGTGAAAATAAATCCAGTAACCCTATGTGGCCTGGCGTTTGAGCCACCCTTTATATTTAAAGTGTCTGAAATGTGTGTTCAGCATTGTGGAACTGCCAAATTACTAGTCGCCTGCTTTATACACAGCCAATTTAATTTTCTCACTCCACTGCTGGATGAGAGCCTACCCCCCCCCCCACCCCATCCCATGCCTTGTGGGCTGTGAGGAATATTTGACCATACTTCACCACGCTGGTCAGCGCGGGGGTGTTGGTGAAGGTGGCGGGAGTTCAGAACAACATAAATCTGCTTGGCTCAACAACAATCTTCATCTGACCTGTCACTGAACATCTGTTTCATTCATCTGCCTACAGAGGCATCACAGAAGCATTCGTAGTCTGTTCCGTGCCAAAGCCTTCATCTTAAGCTCTAAACAATTCTCTCTACGATGCAAAGCGCCGCATTATCGGCCGAAGTTGGAATCCTGCGGTTATAGCTGCGGTGGAGTCGCCCAGTTCCTACCACACTACGCTCCATTAATCACACAGCAGTGAGGGTAAACAATGATGCTCCAACACTCAATGATTCACTCCGGTAACTCGCTCACAACGTCAGTCTTGTCGCTACTACCACTGCTTCCGTTCCCGTGAGCTTCACTCATCGATTCCTCTGCCCATGTTGGGCACTCGGTCACCCATGCTGTGTTCACACTGCAGGTCACAACAGCACCTTCATACACTCGCCCACTCACCACGCTGCAGGTCACAACAACAACGCACTCACCCACTCGAACGCTCATCCACTTACTCACCACACTGCAGGTCACAACAACAATTCACTCAACCCACACGAACGCTCACCCACTTACTCACCCACTCACCACGCTGCAGGTCACCACAACAACGCACTCACCCACTCGAACGCTCACCCACTTACTCACCCACTCACCACACTGCAGGTCACAACAACAACGCACTCACCCACTCGAATGCTCACCCACTTACTCACCCACTCACCACGCAGCAGGTCACAACAACAACGCACTCACCCACTCGAACGCTCACCCACTTACTCACCCACTCACCACACTGCAGGTCACAACAACAACGCACTCACCCACTCGAATGCTCACCCACTTACTCACCCACTCACCACGCAGCAGGTCACAACAACAACGCACTCACCCACTCGAACGCTCACCCACTTACTCACCCACTCACCACGCTGCAGGTCACAACAACAACGCACTCACCCACTCGAACGCTCACCCACTTACTCACCCACTCACCACGCAGCAGGTCACAACAACAACGCACTCACCCACTCGAACGCTCACCCACGTACTCACCCACTCACCACGCTGCAGGTCACAACAACAATGCACTCAACCTACTCGAACGCTCACCCACTTACTCACCCACTCACCACGCTGCAGGTCACAACAACAACGCACTCACCCACTCGAACGCTCACCCACTTACTCACCCACTCACCACGCTGCAGGTCACCACAACAACGCACTCACCCACTCGAACGCTCACCCACGTACTCACCCACTCACCACGCTGCAGGTCACAACAACAATGCATTCAACCTACTCGAACGCTCACCCACTTACTCACCCACTCACCACGCTGCAGGTCACAACAACAACGCACTCACCCACTCGAACGCTCACCCACTTACTCACCCACTCACCACACTGCAGGTCACAACAACAACGCATTCACCCACTCGAACGCTCACCCACTTACTCACCCACTCACCACGCTGCAGGTCACAACAACAACGCACTCACCCACTCGAACGCTCACCCACTTACTCACCCACTCACCACGCTGCAGGTCACAACAACAACGCACTCACCCACTCGAACGCTCACCCACTTACTCACCCACTCACCACGCTGCAGGTCACAACAACAACGCACTCACCCACTCGAACGCTCACCCACTTACTCACCCACTCACCACGCTGCAGGTCACAACAACAATTCACTCACCCACTCGAACGCTTACCCACTTACTCACCCACTCACCACGCTGCAGGTCACAACAACAACGCACTCACCCACTCGAACGCTCACCCACTTACTCACCCACTCACCACACTGCAGGTCACAACAACAACGCACTCACCCACTCGAACGCTCATCCACTTACTCACCCACTCACCACGCTGCAGGTCACAACACTTTCCCTTGCCGCTTCACCCCTTGAACTGCTCCACTTTGGAATTCCCTCCCGTTCATCTTCGTGTTTTTCCCCCAAGCTCTTACAGGAACAATAATAATAACTTTGCTCAATCCAAGACACGTGTTGCACTCTCGCCTATTTCATTATTGATAGTGCTGCTCGTTGCTGGCCGCTTGACACTGCGGGCCATTGGGACTGTACTCAGGCGACTGTTGCTCATAATATAATCGCAACAATAATTAGTTGGATAACTACGCACGATCGAGTGCGGCACGTTCGCCGGTAATGTGGTTCTCTGGCTGAGAAGACTTCCTCATCCCTTCTACACCGGGGTGGAGGGGGGGGTGGAGGGGGGTGGAGAGGTTGCACGAGCAAGGGCGCTGGCACGGCACCTGCTCATCCTTGGAGCTGATGATGACGAGGTGCGACTGCATCGCCATGCACGACTCGTTGGCCAGGGTCCAGTTCATCCTCATGTTGGACATGGAGTAGCAGCTGCCGTTGAAGTACGGCCCGAAGCCCTTGCAGGCTGCACGTGCGCACACACGGGGGGGGGGGGGCGACAACAGCAGCAGCAGGGTCGACGCTGATGACCAAATAACACAGAAACGTCGCTCCACGTTCGGCTCCGCTCTTCAATCTGGCCACGTTTCAGCTCCGAGAATGCGGTAGCGGGCGATGGACGTGAGGCCTGAAGCGCCCAACGCATGGAAACACAAATTGCCAAAGTTGATCCGAAAATAACTCAAAGTGGGATGACACGTAGCGGCAACCGTGGCACCCCTACTTGCCGACCGGTGCCCGCTTGCGGACCAGGTGCTGAGCCACCTTGTGCCGCATAGGGACAGCTGCCACTTGGGGGGTGCCGTTTCAATTTGCCTTCGACAAGATATGGACGACGCTGCTCATCGCGGGCAAAAAGCCCGGACGTAAAGGAGGGCGGCACTACCGAAACACAAATCATCATCACTTATGATCAACGCACTTTAATCTTTTACCTACGTGACTTTACCGAAAAAACCTAAGAATATGAATCCTTGCAGTCACGAAAGCTTCAAATCTAGAATTAATGCACATAGGGCCCCCAACCCTGCCACTGAAATCTGGAATCTCCACCACTGGAAATTTCCTTCGGCTGTAAACAGGAGATGAGCATTCTCTCAATGTACGCGTGAGCAGGAAATCACTCTGACTTAAGAGAACTAAGAAGCTCTCTTAAGTCGATAAAAAAAATCACCGAGCATCCCCGCCAAGTCGGCACGAGACTCGGCGAGGGCCTTGGGGGACGTGCTCAAGGCCACGTCCTCAAGGCGACCGAGCACGGCGCGACTCCGCGCCGCCTGGAAATGAGTCGAGTCCATCGTCGCGGCGCAGTTTGACGGTGGGGACAGACGAGGGGCATTTTCCAGGCAGCGCTGCGCTATCCTTGAGCTTTAACAACAATGGCTACGAGTGCTAAAGCAAGTAAGGGCTCCTCCCCCCACACCAACTTGCCTTCGCTCTTGGGGTCGTAGGGATCACCGGGGGGGCCCTGCATGCCGGGCGCTCCGCCAGGCCCCTGTTCCCCGGGGAATCCCCTCGGCCCCTTCAGGCCCTGGCTGCCCTTGGGCCCGAGGAGGCCCTGCGGTCCGACAGGCCCCGTGGAGCCCCTCGACCCCTTCGATCCCTTCATGCCCTTCTGCCCGGGTAGGCCGATGGGGCCCGGCTGGCCTTTGTCGCCCATCTCTCCCTTGGGGCCCGTGGCCCCCGTCTCGCCGAGTAGGCCCGGGTCGCCCTTCGGGCCCACGGGGCCAGGGATGCCCGCCGGGCCCTGCTCTCCCTGGTCGCCCTTGAGGCCCGGGGAGCCGGGCAGACCTGAGGAGACGGGAAGGAGGGTACGGTGGTGGCGCTCACTCGCTGCTGACGACGCCGATGCAAGCCGAGTTTATAGCGTGAGCTTGTTTAACGCGAAGTGGGGGGGGGGGGGGGGGCACGAACGGTGAATGTTGAACCTGAAACAAACGCTCATCGCGAAACACAATGATCTGCTTCTGTCTAATCGTGCATTGAACCCGATGTAGACGGTGAATACACCAGGCGAGAGAGCGACAGGGGAGAGGTAGGAGAGTGCGTGGAGGGAAGTAGAGTGAGATGAGAGATGAGAGATAGGAGAGTGTGTGGAGGGGAGTAGAGTGAGATGAGAGGTAGGAGAGTGTGTGGAGGGAAGTAGAGTGAGATGAGAGATAAGAGGTAGGAGAGTGTGTGGAGGGAAGTAGAGTGAGATGAGAGATAAGAGGTAGGAGAGTGCGTGGAGGGGAGTAGAGTGAGATGAGAGGTAGGAGAGTGCGTGGATGGGAGTAGAGTGAGATGAGAGGTAGGAGAGTGCGTGGATGGGAGTAGAGTGAGATGAGAGGGCAAAGGCAGGAGAGTGCGTGGAGGGGAGTAGAGTGAGATAAGAGGGGAGAGGTTGGTGGGCGAATATCCACGGAGGATGTCAAAGGTCATGAGGGTAGTGACTTAGCAGGTGATTCAGAACTGGATTTGGATCTGCGGGTTGGAGTGACGAGGCCTAGCTTTGTGGGTCTGCGTGAGGAGTCTTGTAACTGGGGGGTTTTAGGGAAGTGAGCTGCAGTGGACGCCACGATAAGCCAAGCGTCAGGTCGCTTGACCCGTGGCGCTGCCAGATGTTGGGCTTCCATTAGTTCTGTCTGTCAGCCACCCCCAGAGTCCACAGGTCCATGGTTCAATCTCATGGCGCGGCAGCTGAAATCCCACCCTCCCACCCACCCCACCACCCACCTGCCTTTGTCGCAGTTCATTGGCGGGCCGAGTGTGGTGGAGGACAACGTGGGTACTCTCACTTCTTCCAAGACAGTCTGACCAGCGTGGAAGGGTAGGCCACACTACGCTCTATATAGCGGGGCTCTCTGGAGATCCCTCTCGTGGAGGCCCTTCTGCCAACAGTGGCGTGAGCCCAGATATTGCAGGGCTGCCCCTGCACCTCCTGAGAAGATAATTTTTTTTAAATTAAATAATCTGCCTCACATTTTCAAATGAAACAACCAACAGCAGCTTCTACAGAAGTAACCGTCTCCCTGGAAATTGCCAAATTGCAACAAACAGACCGTGGGATTTGAACCGTTTATGCAGAACCGCGTAAAAAAAATGTCTCTTTATTTATTTTCAAACGTCTTTCTCACTTCTTTCCTCGGTCGACTTGAAACCATTCCGGCCTTTTCGTGCACACAACCCTGAGAACAGCTGTTTAAAGGCGCTTTATACATTATCCTCGTTATTATTATTATCATTAAACTCGAAGCCACAGAACCGTCTCACCCTAGTGTCGGGGACGTCGGTGGGCCTTGCAAAGCGGGGCCACGAGAGAGCCACCGTACTGAGCCGTGGTGCCGATGCATTGGGGGACCCCCCTAAGCTTGGAATTATTATTAAAAAGTAAAACGAAGACGAGGGAGATGAAGAGGGGAGATGCAGAATAAGAAGAGATGGAGACGAAGTGGGCACGAGAGGAGAGAGACGTGTAAGATGAGAGATCAATTTGATTTCGTTCTTGTCAACGGTAAAAACCACACGCATTCATCATAGCACGTTATGTTCGTTCGGATTTCAATCCAATCTGATATTTGGTGCAGCTCAATTTTTCCCCCACGGCGCCTTTGAGCCGCTTGGGACACGAAGCGCTTGCTGAGTTTGCACGATGCCCAGCGGCGCTGGGCTGGCGCGGATGGAACACAGCGGCACTTAGACCCCCCCCCCGCCCTTCGCGTAACTGCACACCGTAACCGCACACTACAACCGCACACCTTAACCGCACTCCGTAACCGCACACCATAACCGCACACCACAACCGCACACCACAACCGCACACCATAACCGCACACCGTAACCGCACACCATAACTCCACACCATAACTGCACACCGTAACCGCACACCGTAACCGCACACCGTAACCGCACACCGTAACCACAGACCGTAACAGCACACCATAACCGCACACCGTAACCGCACACCGTAACCGCACACCATAACCGCACACCATAACCGCACACCGTAACTGCACACCGTAACCACACACCGTAACAGCACACCGTAACAGCACACCATAACCGCACACCGTAACCGCACACCGTACCCACACACCGTAACCGCACACCATAACCGCACACCGTACCCACACACCGTACCCACACACCATAACCGCACACCATAACCGCACACCATAACCGCACACCGTAACTGCACACCGTAACCACACACCGTAACAGCACACCGTAACAGCACACCATAACCGCACACCGTACCCACACACCGTAACCGCACACCGTACCCACACACCGTAACCACACACCGTACCCACAAACCGTACCCACACACCATAACCGCACACCGTACCCACACACCGTAACCGCACACCGTACCCACACACCGTAACCACACACCGTAACCGCACACCGTACCCACACACCGTACCCGCACACCGTAACCGCACACCGTACCCGCACACCGTACCCACACACCGTACCCACACACCGTACCCACACACCGTACCCGCACACCATAACCGCACACCGTACCCGCACACCGTAACCGCACACCGTACCCACACACCGTACCCACACACCGTACCCGCACACCGTACCCGCACACCGTACCCGCACACCGTACCCGCACACCGTAACCGCACACCGTAACCGCACACCGTAACCGCACACCGTACCCGCACACCGTACCCGCACACCGTACCCGCACACCGTACCCGCACACCGTAACCGCACACCGTACCCGCACACCGTACCCGCACACCGTACCCGCACACCGTACCCACACACCGTACCCACACACCGTACCCGCACACCGTACCCGCACACCGTAACCGCACACCGTAACCGCACACCATAACCGCACACCATAACCGCACACCGTAACTGCACACCGTAACCACACACCGTAACAGCACACCGTAACAGCACACCATAACCGCACACCGTACCCACACACCGTAACCGCACACCGTACCCACACACCGTACCCACACCGTAACCGCACATCGTAACCGCACACCGTAACCACACACCGTACCCACACACCATAACCGCACACCGTAACCGCACACCGTAACAACACACCATAACCGCACACCGTACCCGCACACCGTACCCACACCGTACCCACACACCGTAACCGCACACCGTAACCACACACCGTACCCACACACCATAACCGCAAACCGTAACCGCACACCGTAACAGCACACCATAACCGCACACCATAACCGCACACCGTACCCACACACCGTAACCGCACACCGTAACCGCACACCGTAACCGCACACCGTAACCGCACACCGGTTTGGCGTCCGATGTGACTGTCGCGGCTCGTTAAAGGAGCGCAGGCCCAACGAGCAATTAAAATTGCAAACCCCGGGCATCAGTTCAAGCGGAACGAACTTGCGGGGGTGGGTGGGGGGGTGCATTCAAATGCAAATCGACGATACGTACGTTCGTGTACGTTGAAACTAAGAATAATGTGCACGTCGGGACGATTAATTTACCCATTAATTTTTAGGTTTTAAAGACAACCTCTTTCACGTCCCCCTGCCGTAATGGGCTGCGTTCCCCGGGTTTGCGTGTGTCACGTCCGACGTTTCGCGCCCACGTCCTATGGGGGCGCCTTCTTTCGGGAATTGAATTCAGTTGCTGAAAAAAGGTACGGCACCGCGGAGCGGGTGAATGGCGCCATCGTCACCCTTTCATTCAACGAAACCACCATCATCATCATCAGCAGCAGCAGCATCATCAGCAGCAGTGATCATTCCACTGCTGGATGATGGTCTTCTCAAGCCATCTCTCTTCGGACCTGTGACGTAACGGGCTGATCGCATCACTCCATCCCCCAAGTTGGATCTGTTATACCACGAGTGCGGGTGGTTAATAGAGACACGATAGCTTCGTACGGGCCGACACAGTAGTGACGTCATATGTCACTACACTTGTGATAATACGTGTGTGTCTATTTGGTGTTTGAACATCTTAACACCTCCTGTGTTATTGTTCAAAAGGGTTAAGTCTTTTCTTATCATCTGGATACTGGCAAAAATTGTCTCACAGATACGTTCCTCTTTTTGATATACGTATATATATTACTCGTGTTTAGCCAGGAATAATATATATTAGTCCTGTTTATCAAAAAAAGATGGATTCAAGGCCCCTTTTCAGGAGGGTCCTGCCAAGTTTGCTCCGAAGAGGGAAATGTTTCCACTGCGTGTAATCCCAAATGAGTAATTTTCATGTCGTTTTTCAGAATGGGGTTGTTTTGGCCAAGACCGGTTACACTGTAAGTTTCGCTTGTTTTTAGCCTTGGGAGGAAACTGGAGCTCCCAGAGGCGACCCGCGCAAGACAGGGGAAGAACCCACAAACTCTACACAGAAACACGGCCCAGTTGGCAATCGAACCCAGGCCCTTCTTGCTGCTAGGTGACGAGCGTTGCCACTGCGCCACCCATCTTCCCTCCTTCGGCTGCCACTCCGTTGTTAGCCTCGACCACCGGCCATCACCCCCTCTGGACAGCGTGTTCTCCCCTAGCCCGAAGCAGTCAGCGTGATGCTTCGTCTCACTCGACGATGTCCTCTGATGCACGCGCTCCTCTTCCCACAACGTCAATGTAAAATCCCGAGGAGGCCACCCCTCCACGTTGCTTTCCCCGCACGCATCACGGGCACTGGCCGCCCCGGATTTCAACGCAGCGTCCTCGGCAGAAGACGCAAGGATCTTCGTTGAACAGCGGGGGGGGGGGGGGGGGGGCACCGCGCATCCTCGTCCCGCGCCACTCACCGTTCAGCACCGTGATGTTGCGCACCTTGTCGCCGTGCTCCTGCAGCAGCAGCCGCACCTCGTCCACGAACAGCGACACGTTGCGGTACCCGGCGTCCACCCGCTCCGTCAGCGCCTGCCGGGCGCCGCTCCAGTCCTTGCGCAGGACGCGGAAGGCGCCATCGAGCCGCGCCACGTCCTGCTGCGCGCCCGCGAGGCCCTGCGCGAGCTTGGCCCGCTCCCTCTGCCACGACTCCTGGGCGCGCGTCGCCGTCCGGTTCAGCGCCGCCACCGCGGGCCGCCACAAACGCGCCGCCTCCTCCGCGGCCGCACGGGCCTCCCGCGCGAGCGCCTCCAGCTCCCGCCCGCGCTCCTCGGCCGCCAGGTCGGCGAGCCGGAGGGCCTCCGCCGCGGACGACGCGTTGCTCCGGAGGTCGTCCAGCCGGCCCGCCAGCTCGTCCCGCCCGTCGGCGCCGTCCGCCGCCGCGGCCGAGACGTTCGCGGCCAGCTCGTCGACGCGCGAGGGCAGGCCGCGCAGCGACAGCAGCGTCGCGTTGGCCTCCCAGCTCCAGCGCTGCAGGGCCTCCAGGCCCGCGCGGCTCGAGGCGGCCGCCGTGGGGTCCCCGGCGAGCCCCGTGGCCTCCTCCAGGGCCTGCACGCGCTGGCCGATGTGGCCCAGCCGCTGCGTGCCGAGCGCCGCCAGGTCGAGGCGGTCCTGCAGCTGCTGCGTCGACTCCTTGAGCGTGTCGACGTCCTGCCGCCAATGCAACAACGCGTCGCCGATGGATTTCTCTTTGTTCTGCACGAGCTTGTCTGGTGTAGGGCGGAGGGGGGGAAAGTGGGGGGCCGGGAGGAGGTGACTTAGCGCGAGCGACTTCCAGAGGCCAGCGACGATGCGTCGACTCGCCGACTGACACATCGATTACGGCACGAGGCAGAGCCATCCCTCTTCACGTAACAGTCTACGTCCACGTATTTTCAACTTGAGATCCTTCATTTTACGTAATCTCGCCGAGGTGGCAGGGTGGCACAGAGGATCCAAGCGTGGAGGTGGCATTCTTGTAATTACACTGACAAGAGGGACACATGCATCAAAGGGAGGACACGGCACGCTAACTGTTAATGCAACGAAGGCTTGGGCAGGACACGTCACGAGAAGAGACGATGGTCAGGGGTAGTGGCAGAGTGGAAGGGGATACGCACCGACGAGAATGAGTGATGGATCGGCGTGTAGGTGTATATACAGGGTGGGCCATAAGTAACTCCCAGATTTGAAATCACGGTATTTTGTGTTAAGTGATTTTTTTTTGCAGAAATAAAGTAGAAGCCTTGGAGTTTATGATGAACTGGTTATAACTCTTGGTAGCCTGCGAGAATAGTTGACATTTAATCAGAAACAATTGTTCAATTATTTCAAACACAGGGAGACTGCTGCAGATATTTTAAGACCCGAACGGCTCCAACTCCGCACTGAATTCGGGCGTTCATTTCCCAATTTCGGGAATCGGGAACGACGGTGGATGCACAGCGTCGTGTTGGCAGCCCTCGAACCGGTCGATCTCCGACTTCTATTGAGCAAGGGAGGGAACCCTGAAACTCCGACGGGGGAGGAGACGCCCCGCTGCTCAATTGGGGATGGCACAGAGGTCGCTGCGGCCAAACTCGGGTACAGGACTTGCCTCTTTTTCCACGTAAGATGCAGCCGGCGCAAGAATTTACGAGCCGAGAGACCATCGAAGCAGCCTAAGGGGCTCGCTTGCTTTCGCTGACACGGAGAGTGATGGAAGATGCCGTTGAAAGAGCACGGATTCGCCAACGCAACGCAGGCCGTCATTTGCAAGATATTTAGTTTTTCACGCGTAATTATATCGAATCTCCATGAATTAAGGAATTTTCAATAATCTGGAGCGTGTTTTTGTTTACTTTTTCAAAAGTTATAGGCAAAACAAACCGGGTAGTTACTCATGGCCCACACTTTGTATATACCATTGCATCGCAAGACCGAGGCAGATGACAACAGCAGCTTGGGGGAAGAGCCCACATCCAAACAGTGGATTGATCACGGCTGGCGAGAGCACATCCTAAAACCTGATCATCATCATCGTCATCATAGCCGTCGCCGTCGTGATTCGCTGCTGGATGAAGGTCTGCCCCTGCTGTGGCCATCTGCTCACGTGGGCCCGCCGACGCCGCTATGCGACTCGCGGCGTGCAACGGGCAGTGGGAGAGGGGGGGGGGGAGTTGGGGGAGTAAAGTTCCACGTTCATTTGTCGACTTGTGTCCAGGGCGTTGAGCCTCCACTTACCCAGCGTCTCCAGCTTCGTCCCGAAGGCGTCCAGCCGCTCCCTCAACGTCAGGTCCTCGGCGGTCATGACCGTCGCCACGCCGTCGATCCGCTGGAACACTGCGCACGACGGCGCCACGGCGGGGTCACCGGGCCGCACCCACCCACGAAGTCGCGAGTCATTTCATTTCTTGTTGTTGTTTGTGTTTAGTTTGTTGTCCTTCCCACGCACCGCCGATTAGCACGGTTGGCTACGTACGGTGCGGAGGAAGTTCAACACACGTACGGTACATGCATGTCCCCCGTGTAGCCCACACAAATGCCGTTCGCAAGTTAAAGATGCAAAGGTAAAGGCGCAGCCCTGCAATTGCTCGCTCTCACGCCACCGCTGGCAGGAGCGGCCTCCGCTCAGAGGGAGCTCTAGGAGAGAACTCCTCTTCCACGCGGGCCAGACGTCCTGGAAGAGGTGGGGTTACCCACACTTCACCCCGCAATGCACGGCCTGCCGATCGTCGACTAATTGTGGTGTTGCCGTTGCTGCTGCTGGGTGAGCAGGTGGGGAGGGGGGAGGGGGGGAGGGAGGAGGGGGGGCTTCCAGAAACCTGCGCCGTTGTTTCAGCTGCCACGCCGGGAGATCGAAACGAACCTGCGACCTCAATCATTGCTGACCGTGACAGATGGCGATGGCTGGGGAAGCCTTCGTCCAGCAGTGGATAGACCATGGCTGCTCGCAATGATTGGTGGTGGTGGTGGTAACGATGAAGAAGATGGCATGAGCGAGATTCCTCCCTCCCCGTGTCACCCTAGGCCTCTCACCCGTGTAGCTGATGACGGCGAGGATGATCGACAGCAGGGACGCACAGGCCGCACAGCAGGGCGATCGCCGTCTTCAGCGCGCACTTCCTGCGGCACCGCGAGCAGCCGGCGCCGTCCGAGATTCCTGTGCCAGTGACGGGAGGTCAGGGAGGGGGGGGGGTCAGGGGGTCAGGGGGTAGCGTGATTCAACCTCCAAGCAGAACCAGCGCCACCGCCACCCGGACCAGGGTCTCGTCCGGACCGTCACTCACATCCTGCACCACGCGCTGGTGGAGGATCGGTCTCATGATTGGACGGTCAAAGTGTCTCTTAGTCACATCTAGACACGTCGTGGGTGTCTCTTAGCCACATCTAGACACGCCGTGGGTGTCTCTTAGCCGCATCTAGGCACGCTGTGGGTGTCTCTTAGCCACAGCTATCCATACCCATCAACATCACCATCCAATCACCCGATCATCATCACAACGGGGTCGCGTAAACGAGTACCACTTTGTGATGAAGTCACCAGCGGTTGTCTCATGGATAGATTCGCCCCTCCCCAGAGAGGAACGGAGCTTACACCACCGACTCTGCAGCTCTGAGATCGGCCTCCGAACCGCAAGCGGCAGCCGCAGCAGCAGCGGCAGCAGCAGCAGCCGCAGCAGCAGCGGCAGCATCAGCAGCGGCAGCATCAGCAGCGGCAGCGGCAGCAGCGGCAGCCGCGGCAGCAGCAGCAGCGGCAGCAGCAGCAGCGGCAGCAGCAGCCGCATCAGCAGCAGCAGCCGCATCAGCAGCAGCAGCAGCAGCGGCAGCAGCCTCCTCCACAGAGGCACTTACCGAATCTGTTGTACTCGAAAGAGTCGATGTCTCCGTCTCCTTCGCACGCTCCTCCTGGAGGTGGTTGGGAGGGAGGGAGGGTCACACAGGGTCGCTCCGTGAGCCGGGGGACGTGGTGGTGGGGGTGGTGGGGGGGGGTGCATGCCTGGGGCTGCGCCCGGCGACCCCCCAAAGCAGCAGCTGCCCTCGCAGCGCAAGGGAGCCCCCGATCATGCAACACAAGCAGCGCGTCGTGGAGCGAGCTCGCTGTTGATAACGAGACATAATCGTTGTTACTCTCACTCGCCTCGAGCTCGCCTGTAGCTCTCCGCCTTGTCGGTAGCTCTCAATCAACGAAATCAGGACATGCCACGTTCTGATTACGTGACAAACCTTATCGTTGGCTGTGTCGGGTGGTGACGGGTTTTAACGACACATTTATATATTTACGCGATCTAACCCGAAAAAAACCCTCTATTATGGATGATATTGGTCGCGAAAGCCTCCTGCGTGTAAAATATTGTTGTTGTTGTTATGTGTGCTTGTGCAGCACTGCCCAGCATCACCAGATAGATCCTCTGTAAGCCCCCCCCCCCCTCCTATTAGCGCAACCATGAGGCTCGGCAACCTCCAACAACGCTGATAGCGGCTGGTCGACGTGGACATCGGCCGGACGAGGAACAAGTGGGGATGAGGATGAGGGCTGATGAGGTTGAGTACCTAGCGGTGACGACGATGATGCTGATGAAGAGGTGGGATGAGGAGGGGGGGGAGAGCGGGGAGACTCGGCTTCACCAAACACGTCACCCGCGCGTGCGTGCGAGTGATGTGTGTATGCACTGTATGGTGAACTTCTTTCGCACCGTACGTAGCCGACCGTGCTAATAGGAGGTGCGTGGGAAGGGCAACAAACTAAACACAAAAAGCGGTTCTTAAACAATTGGGTTGCCAATCTCGATGATTTAAAACTGAATTCATTCCAGCGGCTTCCTATTAACGGAAGGAAGTGTGTTCCAGACGGCCGCAGAAGCGCATCTGAAAGCGCGCGATGCGGCGACAGTCTTTGGTTCGATGGTGTGCGTGGTGGGTGCGTGGTGTACGTGGTGTGTGTTTGCCTGGTCGGTGTGCGTGTGGTGTGCGTGGTGTGTGTGCGTGGTGTGTCTGCGTGGTGTGTGTGCGTGGTGTGTGTATGGTGTGTGTGTGCGTGGTGTGTGTGCGTGGTATGTGTGTGTGGTGTGAGTGCGTGGTGTGTGTGCGTGGTGTGTGTGCGTGGTGTGTGTGTGAGTGGTGTGTATGGTGGATGTGCGTGGTGTGTGTGGTGTGTGTGCGTGCGTGGTGTGTGTGGCGTGTGTGCGTGCGTGGTGTGTGGCGTGTGTGCGTGGGGTGTGCGAGTGCGTGGTGGGTGTGCGTGGTGTGTGTGCGTGGTGTGTGTATGGTGTGTGTGTCCGTGGTGTGTGTGCGTGGTATGTGTGTGTGGTGTGAGTGCGTGGTGTGTGTGCGTGGTGTGTGTGCGTGGTGTGTGTGTGAGTGGTGTGTATGGTGGATGTGCGTGGTGTGTGTGGTGTGTGTGCGTGCGTGGTGTGTGTGGCGTGTGTGCGTGCGTGGTGTGTGGCGTGTGTGCGTGGGGTGTGCGAGTGCGTGGTGGGTGTGCGTGGTGTGTGTGCGTGGTGTGTGTGCGTGGTGTGTGGGTGTGCGTGGTGTGTGCGTGGTGTGCGTGGTGTGTGGGTGTGCATGGTGTGTGTGCGTGGTGTGTGTGGCGTGTGTGCGTGGTGTGTAGGTGTGCGTGGTGGGTGTGCGTGGTGTGTGTGCGTGGTGGGTGTGGTGTACGTGGTGTGTGTGTGCGTGGTGGGTATGCGTGGTGTGAGCGTGGTGTGTGTGCGTGGTGGGTGTGGTGTGTGTGGTCTGTGTGCGTGGTGTGTGTGCGTGGTGGGTGTGGTGTGTGTGGTGTGTGAGCGTGCGTGGTTTGTGTGCATGTTGTGTGTGTGTGCGTGGTGTGTGTGTGTGCGTGGTGTGTGTGCGTGGTGTGTGTGCGAGGTGTGTTTTTGTCTTTGTGTGTGTGGGAGCGGTGGCGCAGCAGTTATCGCGCTGCGCTTAGAACACGACACGAATACCAGTGACGATTTCAGTATCTTAACCGACGCTGGGTGTACCCTAGGTTGACTAAGCCACAAATTAATACCTGGTGTGGCGTGTAAGCATCAGGACTGGGGAGACAAAGGCGGTCGGGCGTGGTGCTGGCCACCCACCCCCTCTTGTACTATACTGTGTGTTCGTCTGTGTTTGTGGGGAGCGGTGGCGCAGTGGTTAACGCGCCGCGCTACGAATCCAGCGACCCGAGTTCGATTCCTGCTCACAGACAAACATTCCGCTCACGGCCAAACCGGTTCCGGGACTCCCCTAGGTCAACTCAGCCTTCAATGAGTACCTGATGGCGTGCAAGCATCGGCCACTGGGGAGACGTATTTATGACCCCCCCCCCCCCCCCGCTAACATTACTTGCCCCAAGTATGTTCGAGGAGGCTATACGGGGCATCTTTACCTTGTACGATGTCACTCACCGTTCACCATCGCGTCTCCTTCTCCCTGGCTGCTAGATCCCAAGCGATTCATGGGTCCGTCCGTCCGTGTGTCAGTAGTTGTGTAAGTTGACCTTCTTCTTTCACACCGTGCGTAGCCAGCCGTTATGTGTCCGTGTGTATGTATGCGTTTCTTTATATACGATTGCGTCTATGTCTGCGTGTGTGTGTGTGCGTCTGTCTATCTGTGTTTTACGCGCGCGCGTGTGTGTGACAAATGTGCGCGTGTAAGTTTGTGTAATATTTACACACATACGCACGTGTCTCTCTGTGTGTCTGTATGTATGTACTTATTATTACATGTGCACGTTTAATGTATATGTGTACGTACGTGTGTGTATCTACATGCGTGTTGCTTTACGCGTGCATGTGTGATGTCGTGCACGCGCACGACCTGCGTGTAAGACGACACGTGTGTGAGCGTGTGTCTCTCCACGCGCGTCTATGTGTCGGTGTGCCAATGTGTGTGTGTGTACACGTATACGGTACGTGTGTCTCTACGCGTGTGTGTGTGTATCCAATAAGTTGTCTGCCTCTCTCTCTGGTTGAACGCACACTGCGCAGTGCTGCTGCTGCTGCTGTTTGCTCCCTCCGATCATCTCACTCGCACTCTGCCCCACGCTTCTCAAGATAAACTAATCCAGTCCGGGGCTCCGGATGCGAATTCTATTGGCGGAAGACCAAAGTGGTTCGCGCGTGTGTGAATGTGTATGTACGTAGTGTGGTGGAGGGGGGAGGAAGGGGAGCGGTGGCGCTGCGGTTAGCGCACCGCGTTACTGAACCCAGCCACCCGAGTTCGGATTCCCGCTCACGGCCACCGACACGATTATCTCAATCGGTGCTGGGGCTCCCCTAGGTCGACTCAGCCTCAAATGAGTACCCGTTAACAGCACTTTCCCCGACAGTCTGTTAAGGCTATACGGGGGATCTTTGTTTTTTTGTATGTACTGCGGTGGGGGAGGGGAGTAGTGGCGCAGTGGTGAACGCACTGCCTTACTGACCCCAGCCACCCGAGTTTGATCCCGACCCACGGCGAATATTTGAAACGGTCCATGTGGCGTGAAGCGGCGTTGGTCCCCAACACTGCGATGAGACTGTAGGGGGGTGGTCTTAAACAGAGGACGAGAGCCAAACACCGCAAGATGCATTTGCAACTGCGCTTTGTAACTCTGAAGCTTACCTCTATGAGAGTCGCGACATTTATAAAGTGCAATGTAATCGAGAGACTGTGTGTCGTCTTGGTTTTCGGTCGTGGACTCTTGCAAGTGTTGTTTTGCTGCTTTGCCCCAAGGTTGCTTTTGTTCTTTTTTAAAAAAAAAAGAAAACATCTGCAGGAATGCGCTTGTGCAATTTATACTTGAATTTTTATTTATTTACTTACTAGCGGCTTGAGTAACTGTTCTCTGTCCCGCTCTTTTATCCTTTGTTGTGATGCTGTGTTGTTGCAACTCGCTGACTCGCACTCATCGCACACAACGCGCTCGCCACAAATTAACCACGATACCACCTCGCTCAGCTCGTCAAGGAGCAGAAACCATCATTATGCGAACTCCGATCATCCTCAAAGCAGCAGCAGCAGCAGCGGCGGCTTGAGGCTCACCGTCGAACAAAGGCGTCAATCACCGCATGGCGCGGCGCTTTCAGATGCGCTTCTGCGGCCGTCTGGAACGCTCTTGCTTCCGATATTAGGAAGCCACTGGAGCTATGCACTTTTACATCATCATCTAGATTGAAAATCCATTTATTCAAAACTGCTGTTTGTGTTAATGTATTTTCCTTACCCCCGCACGTCCGATTAGCGCTATTAGCTACGTACGGTGCGAGAGAAGTTCCACATGCATACATACAGGCTGGAGATTTACGTACGGTGCGAGAGAAGTTCCACATGAATACAGGCTGGAGATCTGTGAAAGAGACGAGCTGCAGAGCTCATGGGATTCCTCCTCCAGATAAATAAACATTTAGATTATGATGTCACATAGGGGCGGATCTGAATAGGTTTTCTTTAACAGCGCTTGTACCAAGTCTGCTTTCGGAAATACCAGAGATCGTTGTCTGTTTGTATATTAACTGTATGAGTGTCTCCTTAGCGCTGATGTTTTAACACTGCATCAGGTACTCATTTGAGGCTGAGTAAACCTAGAGGAGGCCCACGACTGGTTCGGAGCTTTGTATGGAGCAACAGTCCAGGCAATTTGAACACAGTGTTACACCGTCGAATGAAAGAACGCAGCTCGGCTGATTTGAACTGGGACTGTGGCTGCCAAATCCGAGCTGGTTGTGAGCACTATTGACAAGGTATGGGAGCTCCTCCATCCACTGCCTGGAGCACTCCCTGATTTCTCGTGGTGAGTTGGGCAGGTGGAGCGTTGGATGACATGAAATACACAACGAGGCGCTTTCTTTTTTGTGGAACATTTGCAAGGCCACACCTCGTGACTGAATAGTCCAGGCACACAACAAGAGTCCCTAACTCCGTCGAATTGAGTAGCCATTACGATATCATCAGCATGCATAACACACACGTGTGTGTGTGTGCACGTCACTGCGCCACCGCTCCCACGCAAAGCGCATACATTGCAGTTGCATTATGTATGGGGGGGCAACTGGGGAAATTGATAATGATATTATTAATTCTGCATAGCTGCGTGGGTGAGATTTTACACGTACACATGTTTTACAAGGCTCAGTCAAGCCCAACATTTCCCGTTGCGAAATCACCGCCGCCCCCACAAGGCTCCTGTCAAACATAAACCCCGCATCATTGTGAGCGTGGGGGGGCTGATCACGTGCATACCAGTAGCTGGTGCCGATTCAAATCGAAATTGAGATCTCGTTACACGTGTGCACATGTTCCGCGTCGCGCGGACGGCGTTACTTTCTTAGCGCGTGTAACGTGTTTAACAAGCATCGGGCGCGAGCAGCGTGGCACGAGTTAACGTTGTATCTAAATGGAGCGTAAATTGGTAGCGTGGTGGGTGGCGAGGATTGGAGTTTTGGTAAACCATGTCTTGTGGGCTCCAATGCAAGTCTCTGGGTATATCTGTGAGTCCAGATGTGTATGTGGGTCTGTAGGTGTCTACGTACTCGGGAACCCGGTTTTACTCCATGGTTACTGAATCCCAGATTCGAACCCAGGATCCCAGCCATTCTGGCTCATCGCAGGCATTCCAAGGTGTTCTGATGTAACGGCCACGTTGGCTACCAGAGGATATAACGCGTGCGCGTTGGAACGGGCGCTAAAACGGTCAGATCCCAAACAATCACCGTGGGCGTTAAACATCTCCGTGGCATCATTCGCAAGAGTAGGCCTTTGTGTGCCGGCGTCTGCATGGTACAATTTTTTAAAGAAAAAAATAACACCGCATTTTACTCAGACAAAGATCCCCCGTGTAGCCTTAACAGACTATTGGTGTCAAGTGCTGTTAGCGAGCATCTATGAAGGCCGATACGGCACACGACGGGGTGGGTAGCCAGCACCACGCCCGACCGCCTTTGTCTCCCTAGTGGCACAATGTTTACACACCGCACCAGGTACTCATTTGAGGCTGAGCCGACCTAGGGGAGGCCCAGGACCGATTCGGATAATCGTCACCGATGTTGAGGGTGAGTGGGAATTCGTAGCGCAGTGTAGCCCGAACCGCGCCTCAAGTGCGGACACGCACTCCCAGCAGCAACGATCATCGCCCCCTGCTGTGAGAACCTGGCAGGATCATTCTGACCCAGAGCCTTGAAACTCGATGGGGCTTTTCTGGGCAGACTTTCGACAAAAATAAACCGTGCCTCTAGTTTCCTGGCCGGCTGCTGGCTGGGCTCATCTCCACCACCACAACAAGAGGCATCGTATTGATAGCGGCTGATGCGGGCCGTTTCCTCTGAAACTCGCTGGGTATCTGGCTACACGGGATTTTGACGTGCAACAAATGAACGCTGAGCGGGATTGAAACGGCAGAGGACGTGTGAACACTTACCAGGGTTATTATAACATTGCTCTAACTCTTCAACGCGTGCGCCCATTACTGTGAGTATTTATTTTACCACGAATATTCGGTAAATCCTATAGGAAATAAACCTGACGATAAAATATATCTTGGCCATTTTATGATTAAATACCAACAAAGCGAGTTACTTTTAGAACTCCCGAGTACAGGGGGATTGTGGGAAGAGCATGAGAATGACAGTCGCCTCTTACTTTCCGTTGCAGGGCAACAAATGTCTCTCGACTGGCGATTATTAAATACATAACGAGTGAATGAGGCTCACTTAACGGGCCGGCTTGTAATCACCGTGCGTGTGTCGCCCCCACTGTGCGCCAGCAAACATTCGCATATCCCGCACACAAACAAACAAAGATCCCCCGTATAACCTGAACCGACTGTTGGGGCAAGTGCTGTTAGCGAGCACCTATGAAGGGCCGGCACGGCACGCGAGGGTGTGGGTGGTCGGCACCACGCCCGGCTGCATTTGTCTCCCCAGTGGCGATGTTTTAATGCACCGAACCAGGGGCTCATTTGAGGCTGAGTCGACCTAGGGGAGGCTCAGAACCGGTTCAAATAATCGTCACTGGTGTCGGCCGTGAGCGGGAATCGAACCCGGGTCGAAAGTTTCGTAGCGCAGCGCACTAACCGCTACACCACCGCTCCTCCACGCACACACAGACACACACACGAAGACACACACACACAGACACACACACGCAGATACACAGGCAGACACACACAGACACACACACACGCACAGACACACACACAGACACACGAAAACCCCCCCGCAGCAGCACACACGGACCGGACGCACTCTGTACAAACAAAGATATCGCTACTTACTAACACAATAAACACAAACTCGAACGTCAACACCGTCCGCATGGAGCTGTCCACGGGGCGTCCTCGCGAACGACGCGGCCACGCGCGGCGCAGTGACACGGAAACACGGACACGTCTCGCCAAGCCGTGGCACCCACACGCGCCGCGTGTTTGCGAGCACCTATTGAGGTCGGGGCGATTGAGTGGTGGTGGTTGGCCCAACGACAACACGACACACGGACGCATCTCGTCTCGTTTATTCGTACGGGCGGGGCGGCGGTGAAGTTGGCTGGCGCGCTGCGCTATGAACCCCCGTCTCTCCGGGCCACCCGAGTTCGACTCCCACTCACGGTGGGTTCGATCTCCCGGGCGCGGCAGGATGAACAACGGCGCCAAGATTATTCTTAAAACGCACGCCGCATTTGTGCAACCCGGAGCCCCGATGCTGAACGAGTAGAGCAAAGTCGATCCGATCCGAAAGTAAATCCGCGTGTGGTGGGGTAAAGCGGTGGGCTCTTCTGCCACCTCTGCCAAGACGTCTGGCCAACGTGCAAGAGGCGAATGAGCCCACAAAGTCCGCGAGAGGGTCGAAAAGAGTGGAGGGGGCAGTGGCGCTCAACCTCGGGTCCGTGCACCGCCGTCTCGCGTCCGCCGTGCGGCGCTGTCGGCCCCAAGCTGACGAGGGGGTGAGGTCAGTGCCGGAACACATTGCCCTGCGGAGGGAGCTGGTAGGAACGTTGGGTTGCTCGGTCAATGGCCAGGGTCAACGGCGGCGTGGTGTATTCCGCAAATATGCCCGACTGTGAGGGCGGGCACAAGCCCCTCTCCACCCAGTCCCACCCATTTTTGGATTCACGACGGACGGACGGACGGACAGAATAATCCCCTGTGGGCTGGTGTAACCAAAAGGTTTCAGTTTTGTCACCAGAAAAATGGGGAAAACCCCTATTATTATATTTTGGTACTGGCAAAGGCCTCATGATGTAGATACTTGACTATTTGTTTGTGTTTCTCCCTTGTGATGGGACTTTGTAGGATGAACAGTGAGATTTACAAGGGCACGGGGTGACCAATGAGGTCTGAATTGGTCTGTAATAAGGTAGGGTGACAGGTGTGGTCTAGTGTAGTGTATAGTGTAGTGCGTAGTGTAGTGTAGAGGATGAACGTTGAGATTTATAAGGGCACGGGGTGATCAATAAGGTCTAAATTGGTCTGTAATAAGGTAGACACTGATAAGGGGTTGACAGGTATGAACAAGGTAGACACTGATAAGGGGTGACAGGTATGAACAAGGTAGACACTGATAAGGGGTTGACAGGGATGGTGCTCGTACCATTGCCCGGTTGGCTCGTTGGTTAGGGTTAGCGGGTTAGAGCTAACGGTAGGGATAATACTAATAGCTAGTTCATTATGGCTGGGGTAGTGTTTGATTGACTAGGGTTAAAGTAGACCTATCACTCGCAGCTAATAGGAAGGGCTATATGGCTAGGGCTAATAGGACGGGCTATATGGCTAGGGCTAATAGGAAGGGCTATATGGCTAGGGCTAATAGGAAGGGCTATATGGCTAGGGCTAATAGGACGGGCTATATGGCAAGGGCTAATAGGAAGGGCTATACGGCTCAGGCTAATAGGACGGGCTATATGGCTAGGGCTAATAGGACGGGCTATATGGTGAGTGAGAGCGCATTCCATTGGCCCGTAGACTCCTCCCAGGCACCGCTGGGCCCTCCTCCCCCGCTGCGAGGCGCGCGTTGTCCTGCCGAGTGTGGTTCACGGGCTGTGGTTCACGAAGTGTGGTTCACGCGGGCTGTGGTGCATGGAGTGTGGTTCACGTGAGCTGTGGTTCACGCGGGCTGTGGTTCACGAAGTGTGGTTCACGCGGGCTGTGGTTCACGGAGTGTGGTTCACGGAGTGTGGTTCACGAAGTGTGGTTCACGCGGGCTGTGGTTCACGGAGTGTGGTTCACGAAGTGTGGTTCACGCGGGCTGCGGTTCACGAAGTGTGGTTCACGGAGTGTGGTTCACGAAGTGTGGTTCACGCGGGCTGTGGTTCACGGAGTGTGGTTCACGGAGTGTGGTTCACGAAGTGTGATTCACGTGAGCTGCGGTTCACGAAGTGTGGTTCACGGAGTGTGGTTCACGAAGTGTGGTTCACGCGGGCTGTGGTTCACGGAGTGTGGTTCACGGAGTGTGGTTCACGCGGGCTGCGGTTCACGAAGTGTGGTTCACGGAGTGTGGTTCACGTGAGCTGTGGTTCACGGAGTGTGGTTCACGGAGTGTGGTTCACGTGAGCTGTGGTTCACGTGAGCTGTGGTTCACGGAGTGTGGTTCACGTGAGCTCCGGTTCACGGAGTGTGGTTCACGGAGTGTGGTTCACGGAGTGTGGTTCACGCGGGCTGTGGTTCACGGAGTGTGGTTCACGAAGTGTGGTTCACGCGGGCTGCGGTTCACGAAGTGTGGTTCACGGAGTGTGGTTCACGAAGTGTGGTTCACGCGGGCTGTGGTTCACGGAGTGTGGTTCACGGAGTGTGGTTCACGAAGTGTGGTTCACGTGAGCTGCGGTTCACGAAGTGTGGTTCACGGAGTGTGGTTCACGAAGTGTGGTTCACGCGGGATGTGGTTCACGGAGTGTGGTTCACGGAGTGTGGTTCACGCGGGCTGCGGTTCACGAAGTGTGGTTCACGGAGTGTGGTTCACGTGAGCTGTGGTTCACGGAGTGTGGTTCACGGTGTGTGGTTCACGTGAGCTGTGGTTCACGTGAGCTGTGGTTCACGGAGTGTGGTTCACGGAGTGTGGTTCACGGAGTGTGGTTCACGCGGGCTGTGGTTCACGAAGTGTGGTTCACGGAGTGTGGTTCACGTGAGCTGTGGTTCACAAAGTGTGGTTCACGGAGTGTGGTTCACGGAGTGTGGTTCACGAAGTGTGGTTCACGGAGTGTGGTTCACGGAGTGTGGTTCACGGAGTGTGGTTCACGTGAGCTGTGGTTCACGGAGTGTGGTTCACGGAGTGTGGTTCACGCAGGCTGCGGTTCACGGAGTGTGGTTCACGGAGTGTAGTTCACGTGAGCTGTGGTTCACGAAGTGTGGTTCACGGAGTGTGGTTCACGAAGTGTGGTTCACGCGGGCTGTGGTTCACGGAGTGTGGTTCACGGAGTGTGGTTCACGCGGGCTGCGGTTCACGGAGTGTGGTTCACGGAGTGTGGTTCACGTGAGCTGTGGTTCACGAAGTGTGGTTCACGGAGTGTGGTTCACGGAGTGTGGTTCACGTGAGCTGTGGTTCACGAAGTGTGGTTCACGGAGTGTGGTTCACGAAGTGTGGTTCACGCGGGCTGTGGTTCACGGAGTGTGGTTCACGGAGTGTGGTTCACGGAGTGTGGTTCACGAAGTGTGGTTCACGTGAGCTGTGGTTCATGGTGTGTGGTTCACGGAGTGTGGTTCACGTGAGCTGTGGTTCACGGTGTGTGGTTCACGGAGTGTGGTTCACGGAGTGTGGTTCACGCGGGCTGTGGTTCACGGAGTGTGGTTCACGGAGTGTGGTTCACGAAGTGTGGTTCACGTGAGCTGTGGTTCACGGTGTGTGGTTCACGGAGTGTGGTTCACGAAGTGTGGTTCACGTGAGCTGTGGTTCACGGTGTGTGGTTCACGGAGTGTGGTTCACGTGAGCTGTGGTTCACGGTGTGTGGTTCACGGAGTGTGGTTCACGGAGTGTGGTTCACGAAGTGTGGTTCACGCGGGCTGTAGTTCACGGAGTGTGGTTCACGAAGTGTGGTTCACGCGGGCTGTGGTTCACGGAGTGTGGTTCACGGAGTGTGGTTCACGGAGTGTGGTTCACGAAGTGTGGTTCACGTGGGCTGTGGTTCACGGAGTGTGGTTCACGGAGTGTGGTTCACGAAGTGTGGTTCACGCGGGTTGTGGTTCACGGAGTGTGGTTCACGGAGTGTGGTTCACGGAGTGTGGTTCACGCGGGCTGTGGTTCACGGAATGTGGTTCACGGAGTGTGGTTCACGCGGGCTGTGGTTCACGGAGTGTGGTTCACGAAGTGTGGTTCACGCGGGCTGTGGTTCACGGAGTGTGGTTCACGAAGTGTGGTTCACGCGGGCTGTGGTTCACGGAGTGTGGTTCACGAAGTGTGGTTCACGCGGGCTGTGGTTCACGGAGTGTGGTTCACGAAGTGTGGTTCACGCGGGCTGTGGTTCACGGAGTGTGGTTCACGGAGTGTGGTTCACGCGGGCTGTGGTTCACGGAGTGTGGTTCACGGAGTGTGGTTCACGCGGGCTGTGCTGCGGTACATGGGCTGTGGTTCACGCGTGGAGGTTCATTCTGGAAATCTCTGAGCGGCGTGCGGCTGACGCAGCTCCACGCGGAGGGTGAACTGCGTGAGTGAGTGTGTGTCTGTGTGTGTGTGAGTCTGTGTGTGCGTGTCTCAGTGTGTGTCTGTGTGTGAGTGTGTCTCAGTGTGTGTCTGTGTGTGTGTGGGAGCGGTGGTGTAGCGATTAGCGCGCTGCACTATGAACCTAGCGACCCGGGTTCGATTCCCGCTCACGGCCAACACCAGTGACGATTATCTGAACCGGTACTGGGCCTTCCCTAGGTCGACTCAGCCTGAAATTAGTACCTGGTGTGGTGTGTAAACATCGCCACTGGGGAGACAAAGGCGGTCGGGCGTGGTGCTGGCCACCCACCCCCTCGTGTACCGTGCCGACCTTCATAGGTGCTCGCTATCAGGACTTACCAAACAGTCCACACGGTATTGAGCCCTCTGTGTAGCGGTGCGTGCGTGCAACGTTACGGGATTTACAAATGCAAATGTGTGCGCGTGTGTATGGCTATGGTATGGGCGTGTGTGTTTACGTGGTGGGGGAGGGGGTGTTTTCGTCTTCTGGCATGTGGGATTCATTGGCAAGCAAAGGGTGCACAAACGCTTCTAATCTCATCGCATTACTGAGTGCGTGGGTGTGCGCGTGTCTATATATACACAAACACACACGTCTGGCCTCGCCATACACAGGGCGCTTGGGGTTAGACGACCGACAGAGCAGTCCAGGTACAGCCCGGCCACAACCAAGGTTAGTACCGATACTTCATCACCACCACCAACATCATCATCCATGATCAATCCACTGCTGGATGGAGGGATCTCTCCACCCAGTAGCCAGCTGACGCCTGAGCTTATTGATGTCATCGCTTCACCCCACAAAATCATTCCAACACAATCATCATCATCAGCCATGATCTGTCCACTGCTTCATACATTATTAGAGTTGTTTAGGGAGATGGCGATCTTCGTTTGCATTTTGTGCAAAGTATTTCATTTAATCTGGCGTGTGAAGAACTAAAGACTACATATCTGCTTGCCATAACAACAACAATTATACATAATAACGTAATAACCCTCTGTCATTCCGAGGCTGGGTGAAGGTCGCGTGAGTTCTTTGACCATACTTCACCACGTTGGTCAGTGCGTGTTGGGTGGAGGGGAGGGGGTGGGGAGGGGGAAGCAGGGTCAGGTTTGCCGGGTTCATATAGCGGTGCGCTAACCACTGCGCCACCGCTCCACCCCTGCACCTGCAAGGTCTTAATTTGTGGTCCGTTAGTTGCAGAGCTGTGGTTCTAGGAACCTGCCACAGCCGGGTTCGAGTCTCGGGTCAACATCAGCGGCACGGGAGTGGTGTTTTCCTCTGCCCTCCTTGACAATCCCGCACTGACCAGCGTGGTGAAGTATGGTCAAACAGCCCCCCTGGACGACACGGCGTGGGGAGTCCATCCATCAGGGATAGAAAGCTGATCAATGTAACTTCTAACGGTTGTTCTATGGCAGGGCGAGAAAGCTGAGCGGTCGGTGTTAAGTTGAGTAAACGCGCATTCGTCAATAGCACTGACTTAAAATAAAAATATATAATGGGCAACGTTTCGGGCAATGTCCCTTCTTCATGTTAATTGTGCTTGTGCATCACTGCCAACGCAGCAGCATCACCAACGTCACGCATTGAATGTACATCCTAAGTCTATTCTAGAAGGTGCACACATCTGAGCGACCGATATAAAATCATCGAGATATTCCAGGCGGGCCAAATAACTTGTTTACGCAAAACAACGGCGCGACAAATGTACGGAACTCGGTTCCCAGTGCCATGCAAGGGCAATGTACTAAAATAATAAACCTCGCCACAAACCATCAACATCGCTTCACAAGAGCGACACTGCATATATGATCCTACCCATGCAGTCCACATGTCTACGTTGGCCCCACGTGTTTACTGGGCAGCGAGCGTCGTTCAGTCTGAGAGTTTCTGAAATGTCGAATTTACGGGAAACCCGATCACACGAAAAAAATCGTTCAAATCTGCTTGCTTATCCGCTCTACCGTTTACAAGAGTCTGGCGCGAGACGCCAGGGCCCCGTCTCAAAATCGTACAATGGATAGAGCCGCGCGCCACTGAATCTTTGGACGGAGATTTGGCGCGGGTGAATACGAGGCTAACGTTTCTGGCAATGGGCCTCTTACTCTTCAAGGTTCGCGGCCCAAAACGATAGCGTCACGGACGATTGTAGGGCAGTGTAAATGATGAGGGTGGTGATGTTTGTTTCTTCACTTGTGCTTTCATGCACATCTTTAAACGGACTCATGTCGTCTTCGTCGTGGTCATCAAACTTGTTCCCATTCGTGACGGCTTCCTCCATGGTCCACGAGATGGGGCGGCAGCCTACAGAGGTTCAGAGTTTGTTGCGGTCCAGTCGCCGGGGGCTACGCACCGAGCGACTCGTCACATTCAGTTCATACCGCCGACGTTCCAGCTCTGAACATCTCGAATACGTTGGTGTGATTCTATATTGGTGTGAATATATTGATGCGAATATGTAATCGATATCATAATATAATGAATATATTATACATATCTAATATATCCTCATTATCGCAATATATTGATGTCATATATTGATGTGAATATATATAATAAATATTAATTGTAATGAATATATATAATCAATGTATAATATAACATCATTAATACCGTAATATATTCATGTGAAATGGGGTGAGACGAACATTGCTCTTGGCGGTAACATGGGTTAGAAAACGGCGCCCCCTACCGCGTTGATCAGAGGTCACTTGAAGAAGCGACCTCAGAGGCAGCTCTGTGGCATCCGCTTCCGCGGACCACTCTCTAACACGCAGCGGTCGAGACACTGGCGCGAGGCTTCTGAGCGGATTACGCGCTCGAGACGCCGAGAGCGCAGTTGGGTGTGTGTGTGGGTGGGTGTTTGGGTGTGTGTGGGTGTGTGTGGGTGTGTGTGGGTGTGTGTGTGGGTGTGTGTGGGTGTGTGTGGGTGTGTGTGGGTGGGTGGGTGGTGGGTGTGGGTGTGTGTGTGTGTGTGTGGCTGCGTGGGGGTGTGTGTGTGGGTGCATGTGTGTGTGTGGGTGTGTGGGTGGGTATGTGGGTGTGGGTGGGTGGGTGTGTGTGTGTGGGTGTGTGTGGGTATGTGTGGGTGTGTGTGGGAGAGAGAGAGAAAAAAAACATAACCCATGAGAAAGTTGCAATAAAATACATCAATATTTATTTATGGTATGAGTCTCAGACTCGGAGCCGGGGGGTGGTTCAGGGTTAGGTTCAGGGTCAGTCAACATTGGCACAGGCGAGGGTTGCAGAACAAACTCCCTGCCAGGACAATTCTGCTGATCTGCCCTGTTTTTTAAGTCCACTCACGCACGCAGTGACCACGCGTGGGATGTGAGTCTCACACACACACACTGCCCTGTCTCAGCCATTATTTATTCTGAAATCCGCCACCCACCCCTCCCCCCTCCCACCCCGCGGGTCTCCCGCGCAAGTTTCTGTGTTTAACAAAAAATCTCAGTTCACTGCGGTTACAATTGCCGCTGGGATGTTCTCATAATCCATCCTCATCACCATCGTCGTCGTCGTCATCATTATTATCGTCATTATCAGACAATTTTTTATTGGAGGGGTTTTTCTTCTTCAATAATAAACTTTTGTGTTTATTGTTGACCGCCTTCTTTTGTACCGTCGTGACCCCGAGTTTCCAGTCTGTGCGGCCGCACAAGCGCGCCTTTGTGCACGCACGGCGAGCGAGCGCGTGACGCGGATCAGACTCGACAATGGGGTCCTGTTTCCCCACTTGCCCCCCCCCTCCTTCCCTACACCCCCCCCCCACCGCATCCCACCTCCACCACCACCAACCCCACACACTCGCCCATTACAATTCCACAATCTTGAAAATCGCCACCGCGTGTGGGGTTTTTTTAGACGCGTTCATCAGAAACCTGCGATTCATGTTTTGTTTAACATAATAATCGTTTTTTTCCCCCTTTTTTCTGGCGACGAAACTGAAACCTTTTTACGAGGAATCACGTTTACATTAACCACAATACTTGCGGTCAGAATGCAAACAAAAAACACACTGATCATTTGTTTAACATCTCACTCAAATCTTTTCCCTGGAGGCCGCGGAGTCTCGCCTTGCAGCTGTGATTGTCGACCTCAAGCGCTGCCCACTTGAGTGACAGGCATGCTGCAACTATCCCGAGCAAGCCGCTAATTACACGTGCTAATTAGATAATCTATTATATAATTACAATAACCCCACCCACTCCTCCTTCTCTGATCTCTGCACCTGATGGGTTCACAGCGATGGCGTCTTCCTGCCCGAGTTAAGACCGAAAGCAGGTGGATTCGTTCACTATTCTGGTAAATTCGCCCGATGATGCTGGTTGATGTAGTTGCCAGCGAAACGTCGTACTACTCAAATTGTACATTTTGTGGATTTACTCTCCAACACACCGGTGGGCTGAAGTAGCAACTAATTGCTGTGTTGTGTTTACTTAACAAACCTTGCTGGTTGTGTCGGGTGGTGGAGGGTTACGACACGTTTATGCTTACGTTATCTAACCCAAACACCTTTATTATGAAGCCTCTATATATATTCAGCCTATACTTTCTCGTACTCCTATAAAACGGGTCTATAACAGGTTAGATGCACGACCTTAGCCATTGGGTTTCGTTATCATCAAGGCGAGATGCATCCGCGTGTCCAAACATAATTCCCAGATCGTTCCGGCTAAAAGTAAAAAACCTTTTAGAATCCATCATCATCGGTCATGGTCAGTCCACTGCTGGATGAAGGCCTCCCCCAAGCCACCGTCGTCTCTCGTGACGCATCAATCCGTCTTGCTCCGGCATCGCGAGCCGATGCGAGCCCGCCATCTCAATCAGATCCCTCTCTCTCGCCAGCAGTGGAGATCCTAGGTACTACAGATCCTAGGTACTACAGATCCTAGGTACTACAGATCCTAGGTACTACAGATCCTAGGTACTACAGCTCATAGGTACTACAGATCCTAGGTATTACAGACCGGCCCACAGAAGTGAGATCCTCAACTTATTTAATTGACCTCTGGTCCACACAATAGGCCCTGCAGTGCTTTCACTGGGTACACTTTGTAACTTGTGGGTGCACTTTGTAAGTTGTGGGTACACTTTGTATCAAACGCGAGGCACTGGGAGATTCTTGCTTGCTTTGGCAGCCGCGTGTGGAATTTATTATCTGGCCACGATTGACTCCATGTGATGAGGCGGGTGCGATGGTTATGAGAATGATGATGATGATGATAATGAAGACGGTGAACACAAGGATGAATACGATGATGACCTTGATGATAAAGACGTTGACGATTAATACTAATGCCATGATGACGATGATTGATGATATTGGTGGTGATGAACCTGACGACATTCCCAGCGTGCGTAACCATGGCCATAAAAACACGGCAATGACGACGACTCCGCAGACGATGACAAAGATGATGATGCGGCTGATGATGATAATGACCTCGTTTCTCCATCCTGAGCTAGTGTTGCCAGATTAGGGATAAGTCTTTAATCTGGCAACAGTCACGTGCCCACGCGTAACCACGCAGGTGAGAGGCAGCGCACTTGAGAACACGGCTCAGTGTCCTGCTGCATCACTCACTTGGGGTGACACGCAGCAATCATCGGCCCCTCCTGGCAGATTAATGCCCACTAGTAGGCGCCTGGTGCCGAGTCACTTTGTGCCGCACAGGGACAGCTGCCGCTGGGGGGGGATGCCCATTGATCGTTTGAGATGTCCGCGATGTTTTAGTTTTAGATAACATCGTTCGTACAAATCGCATCTGACAACTGCTGTGGGAGAGACGAGCTGGAAGGCAGTAGACCAGGCGGTTGGCCTCAGCTACCAACAGTTGCCTAAGCTCTGCAGTCCTCTGTATATTAAGATATTTTCAGTCAATCAATGAGTGTCATATACACACACGTGGGAGGAAACTGGAGCTCCCGGAGAATACCCATGTGCGCGACAGGGCAACTCTGGCCCATACACAAGTGGACACACGATATTCGTCCACATTTGCTGTACTGCCATAATAGAGGTTTGTTTTGGGTTAGATCGCGTAAATATATACATTTGTCGTGAAACCCGCCACCACCCGACACAGCCAACTAGTAAGGGTTTTCACGTAAACAGAACGTGCCAATTCATCACGAGTACAGCACACCGGTGTGTTGGAGAGCAAAGCCACAACATTTACAAACTGAGTACGACGTTTCACCAGTAATTACAACCAGCTGCATCAGGCGAAAGCCAGATTTGTGAAGTCCACCTACTGCATCGTCTTGGATGTGGTCACGGCCATGACCATCCAGATGATACACGGTTCTCCGACGTGTCGAGATTATTCAAACGCCACAAATGCAGCAGCAGCAACACAACGACAATCGGCACACCACTAACTCGCGTGCGGATCTCGCTGTGGATGAGTGAGCCGGGAGAAATCGAGGATGTGGAACGGGGAGAGCGACGGGATGCGGATGAGTGATGTCTCACGTCTCTGCGCGGGGCAGGGACAACCATGGGAGCGACGGCATCTCGGCGGCTGCTGCTGCTCATGCACGTGGCACTGCTGATGATGCTGCTGATGATGATGATGGGGGCAAAGCCAGGCGCAGCTCTCACTGTGGAACAGCTTCAGAGTAAGATGGTGGCGGAGGTGATTGAAATGGTGGTGGTGATGATGAATGTTGGTGACGAGGATGATTGTAGTGGATGATGATAATGGTGTTGAGGATGGCTGTAGTGGATGATGATGATGGTGGTGGTGGTGAGGATGGCTGTAGTGGATGATGATGGTGGTGGTAGTGGTGTTGAGGGTGATTGTAGTGGATGATGATGGTGGTGAGGATGGCTGTAGTGATGATGATGGTGGTAGTGGTAGTGTTGAGGATGATTGTAGTGGATGATGATGGTGGTGGTGGTGGTGAGGATGGCTGTAGTGGATGATGATGGTGGTAGTGGTGTTGAGGGTGATTGTAGTGGATGATGATGGTGGTGAGGATGGCTGTAGTGGATGATGATGGTGGTGGTGGTGGTAGTGGTGAGGATGGCTGTAGTGGATGATGATGGTGGTGGTAGTGGTGTTGAGGGTGATTGTAGTGGATGATGATGATGGTGGTGGTGAGGATGATTGTAGTGGATGATGATGATGGTGGTGGTGGTGGTGAGGATGGCTGTAGTGGATGATGACGATGATGGTGGTGGTGGTGAGGATGGCTGTAGTGATGACGATGACGATGATGGTGGTGGTGAGAATGATTGTAGCGATGATGATGATGGTGTGACTACGAGGCCATCGCTCCAGCACCGCTGGCTTGAGTGCTGCTGCCACTGCCGCCACTGCTAATGAGTGTCCCCCCCCCCCCCCCCCCAGAGCTGTCGACGGACGGGGAGGCGCTGCTGGACCGCGAGCTCAAGCGTGGACTCCGCGGACTGCGCGTCCTCAAGACGTTCACCGACAGGAACGAGGAGAAGCACGCGCGCCTGCAGGCCGAGCTCAAGCGGGCACTCGAGCAGAAGCAGGTGCCGCGGCGGGGGGACATGACGACGGTGGTGGGGATGGTGGTGATGGTGGTGATGGTGGTGGTGATGGTGGTGATGGCGGTGGTGGCGATGGTGGTGGTGAAGGTGGTGGCGATGGTGGTGGTGGTGATGGTGGTGATGGTGGTGGTGATGGTGGTGTTGGCGATGACGACGGTGGTGGTGGTGATGGCGATGACGATGGTGGTGATGGTGGTGATTGCGATGACGACGGTGGTGGTGGTGATGGTGAGGATGGCGATGGTGACATATGTACGCATGTTGAACTTCTTTCGCACCGTACGTATCCAACCGTGCTAATCGGAGGCACGAATCGGAGGTTACGATTACAATGACGCTGCTGCTGCTGCCGATAGCTCGAGCAGGGGTTGGCGATGCTCTACGACGACAAGGACAGCCGGCAATACTTCTAATGGCAAAATCGCAGCCGCTGCAACGATTTAAATAAGACCGCTCGCTCGCTCCTCTAAAACATCGACGTTCGTCGATTCTCGTCGACGGCTCTCCCCCCCCCGCCCCCCCATGGGTGGACAAAACCCGATTTTTCCAGCGGCAGGCATCGGGTTTTTTCTTTAATACAATTAAACCCGATTTCGGGGAATTAAAACCTGGTTTAATAAAAACGAAACTGATCCAAGGCTTAGGCTGCTTCCTCGTCGGTGCTGCTATCGTACTCGGGGGGGCCGTCGGGCACGGGGTAGTCGTACAATGCGGCGGGCAGGTTGGTCGTGATGAACACGAGCTTCTCCTCCACAATCGTGGGTGCCAGTGAGTTCCTTAGCTGGGAATGGATGAAGCCCATCGTTGAGAAGTGCGGTTCTGCAATTAGAACTAATTACACCGGATTTCTCCCAATCTCAGATGATCGGGTTTAATATAAAAAGACAATTAAATATTCTTAGGTTTTTTTCGGTAAAGTCACGTAGGTAAAAAATCAAAATTAATAAAAAATAAAATAAAATAAAAAAATCACGACGTTTCAGAGGCAACACAAGCTTCCGTGCCGTGACGGTTCCACCTGAAGACGGAAGCTTGTGTTGCCTCCGAAACGTCGTGATTTTTTTATTTTACTTTTATTAATTTTGATTTTTTACCTACGTGACTTTACCGAAAAAACCTAAGAATATGAATACTTGCAGTCACGAAAGCTTCAAATCAAGACAATGAAACCCGATTGTAAAAAACCCGACTGTGCCCCCCCTCCCTCCGCTCTGCACCCCACAGGAGGCCATCGAGTTGGCGAGAGAAACTCGCGCGCGCCTGGAGACGCGTGGCAAGACGTGCAACGCCTCGCTGTGGCCCGCCTGGGAGAGCGAGTGCCGCCCCTGCCTCGAGCGCTCCTGCAAGCGCTTCGTGTCGCTCACGTGCGGCGGCGGCGGCGGAGGAGTCAGCAACTTTGGCCGCGACGTGGACCGCTTCTTCCAGAGGTTCAACCCCTTCTCGTTCATGCTGGGCGACGAGGCGGACGAGTGGCTCAACTTCACGGGCAAGTGGGGGCACGGGGGGCGGGGAGATAGGGGGAGATGTGGGGGGGGGGGCTGCGGGGTTGACGTCCGTCATGTGGACGACGGAAACCGAATTGCCACGTGAGCATTGATTTCGGGCTGGACGCGCAGACTTAACGGCAGAACAGCGGTGTGCAGCTTTGCCTGTGAAGCCCTCGGCTTCATCTAGATCGGTGTGTGGGGGGTAGGGGTGGGGCATGGATGAGTGAATCCCCAGTTGATTCCAGGGCACCGCGGTGGGGAAATGTTAACTACCTCGCCTGGTATACAGGAGGTCGTGGGTTCGATTCTAACCCTGATTTCTGCTGTATGTTTGGAGTTTGCACGTTCTCTCCGTGGTCCCGTTCGATTTTTCTCCGCGTCCTGCGGTTTTTCCCGCCACATTAAGAATCAACGTGCGTTTTAGAGGATTTTCCTGCTGCTTTAAATTTCCACGCGATAGGCCGCTTTGTTGGGCTACCGAGCGTGGCCACGTCGCTTCTGACAAAGAGCTGTACAGCTCGAGTGGACCTTACCTGGTAAATTAAAAAAAATAATGGAAAAAAACTGTTCGTTCACCTCGGCCCCATTCCCCCAGCGGTGAAAAGGGGGGGGGGGGGGGGGTACGCGCCGTGGCACTGTCACATGGCTCTGTTCACCGGCGTTCCTCCTTCCCTCTTCCTCCCTCCTCCTCCTCAGACGTCGCCAACGGTGACGGCGGCAAATCATTCGACACGATGGAGGAGCACTTCCACAATCTGAGCAAGGAGGTCACAAACCTCTTCCAGCGCAGCTCGTCGGCCCTCGCCTCCGTCACTCCCACGCTCGCCGACACCCTCGGCCAGGACCTCGTCCGCTGGTTCCGGACGCCGCTGCCTTCCCGCGCCGGCTTCCGCGCTCCCCGCTCGCTGGACTGGATGGACCACAGCCCCTTCCTGCGCTGGCCCGAACGGACGCCCCTGCTCGGCCTGTCCGAGGATCCGCTCTTCTGGTCTTCGCCGGCCAGCATCCGCCACGGCCTGGGGCCGTTGGTGTCGATGAAGAACCTGCTGGGACGCTTGTTCGGCGTCCAGAGGGAGGTGGCGACGGCCGGGGACAAGGAGGAGGAGGAGCACACGGGTACCGCTGCTGGGGCACGCTGCCTGTCGATGTGGAGTGGTGTATAGCCGTACGATCATCTGTGTCGACATCCACGCGTTCGTCTGCCTGTCCCTCTTGCGATCTCTCTCTCTCTGTGTATACGCGTGTAGAGTACACACATCCAGCCAGCATTCTGGGCCTTGTCCGTTGTTCTTCTCAGCCATCAAATGAATGTTCTCGCTGATCCCTCAGTCAATGCGTACGCCTCTTCATCTGTCTGTCAATCCATTTCAACCATATACTTGGCCTTTTAACATATCCATCTTCATATTTATCCATGTAACCATCTTTTCATCAAATATCAACGCATTTGTCCGTCCATCCATTCGTCAGTCCATCCCAACCCATCTGCCCATAATTCTCAACCTGCCGGATCCTCTATTTTACCCCCTCGCCCTCCCCGCGTGACCGTCAGTGACCAGCAGCGGGGGACTCGGACAGGAGGGGGGAGACGCCTTCCGATGCAAACAGATCCAGCGCAGCTCCAAGGGCTGCCTCGCCATGAAGGACGAGTGTGAGCGCTGCCAGGCGCTCATCAGGGGTGAGGAGGCTGCTCGCGGGAGCTTTGGGGGGCGTGGGGCGGAGGGGAGGGGCACCCGAGACGCTAGGCTTGGGCCCAATAATCCATCAGCACCAGGGAGGGACGCCACGGTGGCTGGGAGATGTTAACTACCTCGCCTGGTATGCAGGAGATCGCGGGCTTAATCCCGATCCTGACGCCTGCTGCTGCTGTATATTTGGAGTGTGCGTGTCTCTCACCCTGTGTTCATACTCTTAGTTCTTTCGGTAAAGTCACGTAGGTAAAAAAATGAAATTAAAATTCATAAAAAATAAAATAATAAAAATCATTATTAAAATTAATAAAAAATAAAATAATAAAAATCATGATTAAAATTAATCTTCTTCTTTAGTGCTGCCTAACGGCGTGTGCGACTTCACAATGATATTGGTCCCGGTATAGCATTAATAAAATAATAAAAATCATGATTTTTATTATTATTATTTTTATTAATTTTAATTTCATATTTTTACCTACGTGACTTTACCGAAAGAACTAAGAGTATGAATCCTTGCAGTCACGAAAGCTTCAAATCTAGAATTCTCACCCTGTGGTCGGTGGATTCTTATCTGGGTCCTCCGGTTTTCCCCTCCACGTTGAGAATCAACAACACGCGCTTACAGTATTTGGCTGCTGCTATAAATGTCAACGTGATGAGTCACTTTGTTGAGCTGTCATATGTGGCCTGGTCGCTTCTGAAAAAAAGAGCTATACAGCTCAGTGAGCCTTATCTGGTGAACTAACGAAAAATTATTGTTTAGTTGTGAGTTGACGAGTGGCGGTGGTGGTGCAGAAGCACTGATAACAAAATAGAACTCAACATTTGTGACAACACTGTTCATTTATAGTAAAGAAATATAGGCGACGTTCCGGGCAATGGCGTGTCTCTCTCCGGTTTTAGGGACAAGCAGCGAGGGTGGATTTCCGCGCTGATGTTGTGAAACTCCCTCCCCGTGGGCTTCGGGGTGATGCCCCGTACCCCGGCTAGCCGGGAGAGTCGGACTGGGGACATAGCATTGACCCCTAGTGCAAGGCGTGGGTTGTCACTTTAAAATCATCTACATCGACACACTCATTTCTTCAGAACTGATTTTCGTGTTTAGCTTGTCGTCCTTCCCCCGCACCTCCAATTAGCGCGGTTGGCCACGTAGGTCGCGAAAGAAGCTCAACACACGTACGTACGTACATTTCGTCGTCGTCATTGCTGTGATTGTTACGGCGACGCAGAGTGTCCGGAGCTGGGCAAGCTGCAGCGCGAGCAGTCGCACGCGCTGGACGCAGTCGAGTCCAGCTGGGAGCGCTACAACCGCACCCTGGATGTCACGGGCCGCCACCTTCGCGAGAGCGCGCGCCTCCTCGACAGCATGATGCACCGCTTCGGCTGGGTGTCGCGCCTCGTCGAGAGCCTGGGAAACAGCTCGGTGGACTTCCACGTGGAGACGGTGAGGCAGAGGTCGCAAATGGGTTTTGATTCATATTCTTAGGTGTTTTTGGCAAAGTCACGTAGGTAAAACATTAAAATTAATAAAAGTGAAATAAAATAAAAATCACGACGTTTCGGAGGGTTTTGATTCCTTACCCGTACCCGTACCCGGCCGCACCAGGGTCGCAATCGGGTACCCGTACCCTACCCGATACACGGCTACCCGTACCCGGCCGGGTATCGGGTAGGTTACGGGTACGGGTACTCGATTGCGACCTCTGGGATGAAGCCATGTTGCAGGCGCGGGTGGGTTGATTCTAGGAACTTGAATTGTGAGAAGAGACAAGATGTTGGGAAATGAGTGACAAACGGTTACTCACCAGTGACTCACGGCCTACCCGTACCCGTACCCGGCCGCACCAGGGTCGCAAACGGGCACCCATACAAGGCCGGGTACGGGTAGCCGGGTATCGGGTAGGGTACGGGTATCGGGTACCCGATTGCGACCTCAGCGGTGAGGTCGCCTCTCCCTCCCCCCACCACTCCCTGACCCCTGGCGACCCCCACCCCCCGCCCCGGTTCCTCTCCCAGCTCACACCGCACGGTAGCGAGATGTTATCTCCCTCGCCTGGTGTGCAGGAAGTCGTGGGTTCCATCCCGAACCTGACGCCTGCTGTACATTTGGAGATTGCGTGTTCTCACCGCGGCCGCGAGGATTTTTCTGCGGGTCCGCGGGTTTTTCCCTCCACGCGTTTGGAATCAACGTCACGCGTGGAGGAGCATTTGGTTGCAATGGATGCCCACGTGATGAGGCACTTCGCTGAACTGCCATGTGTGGCCAGGTCGCTTCTGAAAAATGAAATTGGTTCAGTTCACCGCTCCTTGCGGCTCCTATCGGTGTGGCCTGGGGACTGTTGGGGCAGGTGGTGTCAGCAAGCACCCGTTAGAAAGCCGGCGCGGGTGACCAATACCACCCCCGACCGTCTTTGTCTCCCCAGTGCCGATATTTTCACACCACACCACGGTTCTCATTTAAGGCCGAGTCGATCTAGGGGAGGACCAGGACCAGTTCAAATATTTGTCACCGTCGTTTGGCCACGAGCGGGAAACCAACGGCTCGGGTCGCTGGGTTCGTAGTGCGTCGCTGTGCGAACCACTGCACCACCACTCCCCATCTCGCACACGCACTCGGATAGAGGGGTGACGATGCTGCGGCGGTGACTGGACATTGCCCACCCACTTTGAAACAGCGCGCTAAGCGACACGGCGTCTTTGCAAGCATCGTAGCCGCACTAAGCGGGAGACTGGAGGGTATTTTTAAATCCTTTATATTAAGTTTGCTTGCTTGCTTGCATGCTTGCTTACGACCGTGCAAATCTTTCGGTCGTTTTTTAACCCACTTCCCGTGATCCAATCGAGCTGACATTTTCCACACAGACTCGTTGTGCCAGACAATTAATGTTCGTGAAAAAAAATTCCCAAAATTTTACACTTTTTAGGCAAAAACAAATTATTTTACATATATTAAAATAGAACTCATTTATCGCTTTGGCTGAACGTCACAGTATAAGAGCCCAGAGCGTAACCCCTCCACAGGCCGTGGCGGAGTAGCGCAGTTGGTAGCGCCCTCGCTTCCCATGCCAAAGGTCACGGGATCGATCCCCGCGTCCTCCACAGGCGAATATATTTTTAAATCCTTTATATTAAGTTCGCTGCCACGCATATAAAGGATTTATAGTGAAAAACTTAGTTTTTACAGGTTATACTTATTTCTCTCCAAACCTTGCCACTCTGCTACATGTAGGTGCCCGCACCTACACGTAGCAGAGGGCCTCGCATTAATGAAACAACGAATCTCCCCCCTGGTAAATCTTAACGAGATACCGACCGTCGTCATCTCAATGGTGGAAAACGGGTGGGGACATCGCTCCGATCCCCATGGGTCTGCTAACGACACAGTTCAACCCAAAACCGGAGGGGCACCGCAGTTTCTCAGCGTAAGCACCGCTCCGGTTGCGCCACGTCGGTTCAGGGGGCGGGCCTCCTGCAGGTCGGGGCACCGCACGAAGACGAGAGCCGTCGCATTCGTCTGTGTCTGCTATCCGGCGACCGCCCCAACGGTTGCCCTTCGCCCATCGTCGCGAGCCCCCACCCCCCCTCACCCCCCCTCACCCCCCCGGGGCCTCCTGCAGGTGCTGAGCCGCGAGGGTGGCGAGGGCGCAGCGGGGCCACCGGACACGGCGGTGAGCGTGCGCCTCTACGACTCCCAGGAGCCCGTCACCTTCTCCGTGCCGGGCTCGCTGCGCTGGGACGACCCCAACTTCATCCGCACCGTGGTGGAGCGGGCACTCCGCCAGTACCAGGAACGCGCCAGCGGGTACGCCCCCGTCAGGGAAGTCCCTCTTGAACGTACTTCACCATCCTGGTCAGAGAGGGGTGGGGGAGGGGTGGGGGAGGGGTGGGGGAGGGGGGGGGCGAGGTGATGCCGTGACAGAGGATCCGTCGCGGAAGGGAAAGAATGAGATGGTCTAGTTGACCAGGCTTGTAGGATAAGGGATATAGGTTTTGATTTATAGGATATGAGATATGGCATATAGGATATGGGTTGTGGGTTATTGGATATGGGTTATGGGATATAGGATGTGGGTTATAGGATATGGGTAATGAGTTATAGAACACGGGTTATGGGATATAGGATATGGGTTATGAGATGTAGGATATGGATTATAGGATATGGGATATGGGTTCGAATCCCCACCCTCGGAATTGTTTTGTTCGTCACCCCCTTGGCGGCTGCAGCGTCCCTCCGAGTGAAACTGTTTTTGTACTTTAGAGACCCGCTGTCAGTGATATTTGTATGCAATTTGTTATTTCATACATTATCGTTACATTTCATTCAATGAGCTCCTCTCCTCCCTCGAGGCCCACAAGGGTTGTTTGTGGGGCTGTCGTTTCTTGATTAACCCCCCCCCCCCCAGTCTACTAAGTTGAGGGGGGGCAATGCCCCCCTCCCCCACTGCCACCACCTATGGTTGCTACTCAGGGATCAATGCCACCTGTCAACCAGAGTTCGACTCCTGGCCGAGGTCCACGTCAATGCTGAGTCGTCCAAAACTGCTCCTCGGCCTCACGTCTCATTCATCAAACCCTCCCTGACCAGCACGGTGAAGAATGGTCAAACGACCCCACCTGACTAATCAAGGGCATGGAGAAGCCTTCGTTAAAGCCGCGTATGGGACAGAGGCTGAACAGCGGCCTTTGTTTCGTGACTTTAAATGTGCGCTCTGCAAATAGGATTCAGATTTCCATTGTGTGTGTGCGTATGTGCGCTTTTTGTTGTTTCAGAGAAAATGCTACCGTCAAGTAAGAGGGAGGAACTGGGATTGAACCGGAGGCTCAGTGAGCGGAGGCCGCACTGGGGTTACACACCAGCTAGCGACGTGTTAGCAATGCTTCAACTCGTTGAACGTTCCTTTGATTTCAATTCCCGCTCCCGTTAAACCTTAGCGGTGCATATACAGTAGTAGTCCGTGACTGGAGACGCGGTGTTGAATTGTGTTGTTGAGCCTGTGGCATCGCTCTCAAGTGTGCAGGCGGTGCAACTGCACCGGGACCCATGGCTCACCAACTACACCACTGGATTTGAGACGCTAATCACCAAGGCTCGCAGAGCCAGACGAAGGCCACCAAGTCAGACTGGGGCTTGCCCACGCTCTGACAGTGAAGCCAGTGGTGTAGCTATCGAGTGTGCAGGCGGTGCAACTGCAATGCCATCCCCCCCCTTTCATCCTTTGCACCAGGGCTCATGCCAACAAGGCCACGCCACCGTTAGCACGCAATGATTGTTTACGCATTATTCAGAGATTCGGCTGCAGCTTTATTAACCGCACACTTTAACGCGCTATTTGCACAGCTCTTAACTGCAATGCCGGGGGGTTGCCCCACGTCCGACTAACCATGGGGCACACTGCACCGACACGATCCACACATATATACGTAACCAAGAGCATTGCGTCCAGAGAAATCCTGATAACCGTGCGTCCGTGATATCTGCTCGTCCTATTAACCGCAAAATAAAAAAGCAGACTCGAGAGCGTCTCGCCGAGTGTTTGTCTCGCCGCGCGGGGGTGAGGACGCCGAGATGCACGCGGAGTCGCCGCCACATCTCCGTTGCGAGCCATGATGGGGAGAGAGAGAGAGGCCTTCAAGGAGCAGTGGGCGATGGAGGAGGCCGTGTGCTCGGTGGCAGATGACGGAGAGCTCTGCATGGAGATATAAGCTACCTGTCGGAGGCTGTTGGCCTGCGAGAAGGGCTGCGTGCAGAACGAGAGAGAGAGCGAGCGAGAGGTGGGGCTTTACATAAAACAGAGTTTAAAAATGTAAAAAAAAAATTACGAAATGATGAACGAAGCAAAGTACCGAATACACCGAGCATCTTCTTGTTTCCACTGATCGTTGATGATGGGGAGAGAGAGAGAGACGGCATCGACGGAAGGGACTTCGAGCAAGAACAGAGAGCAGGACGGCACGGGCAGTGGGGCTGGGAGACCCGAGCAGGAGAAGTTGCCAGCGAGGACGCAGCGGGAGCACGCGGGGAGGACGGTGACGGATAGAAGAATGTCGAGAGGCTCTGAAAGGTGACCCCCCCCCCCCACCCCGGGTGGGACAACAGGGTCGGAAGAAGATGTCTCGAGTTCGAGGACCGTGCAGAATACACGCTGTGTGTGTGTGTGGTTTAACACACTGTGTGGTTGTGCGCGGATAACACACACACTGTGTGTTCTTGCCGAGTGTGTTCAACCACAGTGTGTTCAAACACACACAACCACACACAACCACACACAACCACAGTGTGGATTTACAGCAGCGTTCTTCACTAATTTTCAGAGCCGGGGGGTGGCCAATGTCGCCGACAAGACATCTGTGTGAGGGCCGCCACAACCGTAGTCTTCACTTGAGTCACGGCAACTTTAAATCGCGTGCACGCTCACCTTCAGGGTTCACGTCGTAGCGTCATTCCACTCCTGCCGCCACCAGGGGTCGCTATGTACTTACCGCCGTAACCACAACATTCGACGGTGATGACCTGACATCTTTCCCAGTCTTTCCGCTCCCTCTGTTGGCAAGAAGGGACAGGGCAAGGATCGGGTGCCGAGTGGTGGACACTCGAATTCACGCAACCGGAAAAATGTCACGCGCACACACACGTTCATTAGATATCGGTTTTCAGCCGCCAATCACAGTTTGGCTGCATAAATGTCATGTACATCGTAAATGTCATGACTATCATGAATATTCATGACATTTAGCCGCTAAGGGGGTGGGAAACAAAACAACTCCGAGCGTGAGGATTCGAACCCATATCCTATAATCCATATCCTACATCTCATAACTCATATCCTAAATCCCATAACCCGTATTCTATAACTCATAACCCATATCCTAAATCCCATAAACCGTATTCTATAACTCATCCCATATCCTATAATCCATATCCTACATCTCACAACCCATATCCTAAATCCCATCAACCGTATTCTATAACTCATTACCCATATCTCAAAACCCATATCCTATATCCCATAACCCATATCCCATAACCCATATCTCATAACCCATATCCTATAACCCATAACCCGTATTCTATAACTCATAACCCATATCTCATAACCCATATCCTACATCTCAACCCATATCCTATATCCCATAACCCATAACCCATATCCTATATCCCATAACCCATATCCTATAACCCATAACCCACGCCACTCGCCACATCTGGACGAGTTTGTCCTCATCGTTTGAGTTCGTGTCGAGATATGTATTAATTGGTGTGCGCGTGTACTTGTGTACGGTGTCTCCCCTGGTCGACTCAGCCTCAAACGAGTACCTGGTGCGATGTGGAAACATCGCCACTGGGGGGAGACAAAGGCGGCCGGGCGTGGTGTTGGCCACCCACCCCCTCGTGTGCTGTGCCGGCCGTCATAGGTGCTCGCTAACAGCACTTGTCCTTGCAGTCTGTCAAGGCTATAATGGGGGGGTTATTTGTCTTTGTATGGTGAACTTCTTTTGCACCGTACGTAGCCAACAGCGCTATTCGGAGGCGCGTGTGTTTCGATGAAGAGGTGGAATGTATCTCTCCTCCACTCACGATCGCCCACTAATTTCACTCCCCGCTTGCTTCAAGCACGCATTTTGTTAAATTGTATTTGTTGCAAGCGGCGTCGTCCCAGTTTTTATTTCCGCCCATTTCACTCGAGGACCGATCACTTTTGTATTCCACAGAGGCCGTCCATAAATGACGTCACGCACCTATGGGGGGGGGGGGTCAGACATTTGTGACGAGGGAGGGGGTGAGAAATGTGACTTCAAATCAGAATGCGCAATTAAATAAATATAGACAACACGTTCTGCTTAATTTAATATACTTTTTACTAAATGTTTTCTCCTACATCAGAGTGCAGCGGCACATTAAATACGCACTAAAACGATAATTGTTTAAAGCGATTTGAAGCATGTTTTATATATTTTTTGGGGGGTGGGGCAGAGTTTTGTGACGTCATATTTGAGGCGGGGGGGGGGGTCTGACTTTTTGTGACGCCGTGTGACGATGGGGTGGGGGGAGTTAAAAATCGTTCAAAATCGCGTGACGTCATTTATGGACGGCCCCTTCCCCAACACCCACAGGGCTATCAAAGCCGCACAGTGCTCAAGGCTCTCAAACCTTGAACCCGCAACCATCGACCGCCTACTCAAAATCCACCACCACCGCTCACAAACAGCCCTGCAAACCTTCCAGCCAAACGTTTCTCCTCGCCGTGAACTCTTCAACAAAATTCTAGATTTGAAGCTTTCGTGACTGCAAGGATTCATACTCTTGGGCTTTTTAGGTGAAGTCACGAAGGTTAAAAATAAATTTAATAGAAGTAATAGTAGAAATAAAATAATAAATCACGACGTTTCGGAGGCAACACAAGTCTCCGTCATCAGGTGGGACCGTCACAGCCAGATTTACTGTCTCAAGTGAGGCCTGATTACGGAGACCTGTGTTGCCTCCGAAACGTCGTGATTGATTATTTTATTTCTATTACTACTTCTATTAATTTTATTTTTATTTTCTACTTACGTGACTTTACCGAAAAATGCTCTTCACCACAATCAGCACGACCGTCGTCCACAAAGAGGACGATTCAACCCCCCCCCCTCACATCTCGCAGCCACTGCACGACAACGCGGAAAGCCATCATTTCCACCACCAACTTCACGAACATCTCAGATCCCACAACAGCAACAGCAACCCGCCACTAATAATAACCATGATAATTAGCGACGGAGTTTGTCACCACGGAGTTCCGTGCTGCTTTGCGTCGCCAAAAGGTGGCAGCATGGGGTCAGAACTCAGATTCTAGATTTGAAGCTTTCGTGACCTCAAGGATTCATATTCTTAGGTTTTTTCGGTAAAGTCACGTAGGTAAAAAATAAAATTAAAATTAATAAAAGTAAAATAAAATAAAAAATTAAATTAAAATCACGACGTTTCGGAGGCAACACAAGCTTACGTGGAACCGTCACTGCACGACTGCTGCATCAAGTAACTGCTGCATCAAGTAACCGTCACAGCACGATAGCTGCATCAAGCAACTTGATGCAGCTATCGTGCTGTGACGGTTCCACCTGAAGACGGAAGCTTGTGTTGCCTCCGAAACGTCGTGATTTTTATTTTATTTTTATTTTACTTTTATTAATTTTATTTTTTATCTACGTGACTTTACCGAAAAAACCTAAGAATATAGAACTCAGATTGTAAATGTTGCCGATTTTTTTCTCCAACACTTCAGTGTGTTGGAGAGCAAAGCCATGTCAATGTTGTGTAATTAAGGTTTTGGGTTCGATTTGCCAGAGTATTCTGGCAAATGTTCCCGATGATGCTGGATGTAATTACCAGCGAAACGTCGGACTACTCAGATTGTAAACGTTGTGGATTTACTCTCCAACACACCGGTGGGTTGAAGTAGTCACTAATTGGCGTTTTGTTTACGTGACAAATCCCCTTACTAATTGGCTATATCGGGTGGTGGAGGGCTACGACACGTTTATACTTACACGATCTAACCCAAACATCTTTATTATGAATACTATTGCTCGCGAAAGCCTACGTGTTAAACTAAATGTTGTGGATTTGCTTTCCAACACACCGGTATTGCTGTACCAGTTACGAATTGGCATGTTCTGTTTACGTGACAAACCTTACTAATTGGCTGTGACGGGTGGTGGCGGGTTTAACGACACATTTATATATTTACGCGATTTAACCCCCAAAAAAATCTGTATTGTGGGGTAAGAAAGTCCACTCGTCTATCTGGCCATCGCCCAACAAATTTTCCTCCTGCAGCCCACCCTCTCCCCTCCCATCACGAACATGTCACCCGCTCATCTTGCTCGTCCTCGTCTCTCCCTCCTGTCGTGCGGGTCGGAAAAAACGCCGAGACGCTGCCTCCTCCGGCAGGCCGCGGATGTTGGGGCCTGTTGGAGCCCAGTGCTCCTCAACCTTTTGTTTCGTTTTTTTTTTGTATTCCGCTGCACCCACTCACGTTTTCGAGATGGCCCAAACTTCGCGGCCACACCGCACCAGCGACTGGATGGGTGCGTGGGGATGCGTGGTGGCTGATAGATAATATAATTGACGAACCCCGTTGCTCGTTCTGATCTCACCGAAAACAAGGAAATCAAAGTGGCGCTGCCAAAATCCGTAACAAGAATTTTCCCAACTGCGCGAGTGTTTTTGTGTGTGTGAGTGTGTGTCTGTGAGTGTGTCTGTGGCTGGGTGTGTGAGTGTGTCCGTGGCTGTGTGTGTGTGTGAGTGTCTGTGTGTGTGTCTGTGTGTGTGAGTGTGTCTGTGGCTGGGTGTGTGAGTGTCTGTGTAAGTGTGTCTGTGTCTCTGCGTGTATGAGTGTGTCCGTGTCTGTGTGTCTGTGTCTCTGTATGTCTCGGTGGCTGTGTCTGTATGTGTGTCTCGGTGGCTGTGTGTGAGTGTTTCTGTGTCTCCGTGTCTCTTTGTGTGTCTCTGCGTGTGTCTCCTCCTCCCTGTGTG